GCAGGATGAGAGAAATGAAGGACTTACAAAAGCAGTTTATCTGCAGTCATCTCGGTGAATGCATATACGGAAACGAGTCTAACTCAACAAATGATACTCCTCGTTATAACTAGGACGTAGTTTTTGGCCATGTCAGAGAAACATAACCTGTTTGGTGGATCTTAGACTCTGCTAACTTAATATGCCAAATTCGAATGGAAATAAAAATACCAAATCAGTAAAGTTAGTGGAGGAATATATTAAAATTTGTTACTTGGGTTATTACAAGGTCCAAATCCACAATTGACGTAGTAGGCTCCGGAAGTATTGTGAGAAGACTGCTCCAATCTTAATTCCCCAATATCACTATTAGAATTGGCCGTTGGTAGCCTAGATGGTGGAGAAGACGGAGGGTTGTCGGCAGAACTATATTTCTATTCAAACCACTAGGTTAAGTTCAAAGTCCAGAGATTCTGGTTAAAACAAAGTAATGAACAATATTTTCATTTCTCACATAGTAGTAAAAGTTGGATAAGTTTATTTTTGAGGTCTCCACACCTGTTTAATGCGTTTGCAAGCATTTTCTTGTAAATATACATCATTTCTTAAGCAAACATTCTTCATTTTTATGATTGGCCAGCTGAAGGTCAGTCGTGCGTTCGCACTCATGGGACGCTATTGTGTAATTTCGTCCCCATAATTTCCACCGCATTCGTTCCTCGTAGACCAAAACAAAACATAAAATTGGTCGTACAAAAATACGAAGTATATTTCCGGATCAAAATTGCAATACAAGGATGATTGCTTATTAGCTAGCGATCGTGAACGTGTTGTGGTGCTCTTTTTGATCAAATCAGCGTACACGTATATCCTAGTACTTCTTCGCGTTTATTATTGTGTCCTAGCGTTGTGATTCCTCAACATCCACAACGTAAATCAAAAGGCACTTGAGAAGGAGTACAAACGTGTATTAACGCAGTAATCAAAATTCAAAAGTCGAGAGAGCACAAAAGTATCAATTGTAACACGCAATATTTAGAGTGACAAACAAATCAAAGTCTAATTATATAGTGAAAGTATGCTACAAAGATAAGTAATAAAATGGGTCACTACAAACAAACAGCTGAAAGTAACACGTCAGCGTGACAAACAGCGTAGATGTTCGAGAGTGAGCCTTAAGCCAAACAAGTCGGCTTTAACATTGAGGGCCACAATCTAATGTTCAGTGATGAGTGCTGTAGGTAATAACTCAGGGAAACTATTTACCTCTGCAGACGAGTTTTCCTCACGTAACTAACTATAAAGTAACTCATAATGGTGGGGTTCTTTGCATGAAATGTTCTCCATACATAAGTGGTATATTTAGGTTGAGATGTCGTTCCTTTTGCTATAGATTAAGCTAGAACATGGATTTTCCATTCAAAGGCAACTAGGGGCCTAGTTTCCTTCTATATTTCTTAAAGGAATTGTCGGAATACAAGAAAAATACAAATAGTAACAGAACAGTCGGACTATAATGTGAAGTTTGCTCAGCTTTACCTCTGGTTGTCTAGTCATGTGTCTTAGCAGAATTCCAGCGACTTACTCACAAGGTCTGATTTTATGTATCCTTGTGGTAACTAATAATGTGAGTACATTAATGGGAACTATGGTGTTGTACCATAGTAGTATTTTTCAGACTGGATAAGACGGTATCATGTAGATGGATGGCTCATGGTATTTTTAGTACTGCGCTTGAGAATTCCTAAATTTTCCCATCTCACTAACCTAAATACACCCTTGAATGGAGTGAGTATAACATGCTTTCTTAACCAATTTGGAATTTTCAGATATAGTCTGATTATTGAATTAAGGTCGGTTCGTTTCAAGAAGCGTACAATTTTCAGGAAGGGTGACTCCATAGTTATCACTAATTCGCATACCAGGAGTAATTCAAGGGACGCATTTTTACCTTATAAAACATTTTAACAGCCACAAAAGCATTTGTCATCCTATGTGTGATTTCTTTTAAATGAAGGTGCTTAAACGCATCAGTGTTACAGTTTTTGGCTCTCGTGCTTAGTGAAGCAGCTTCAAATTCTCGAGGTAACATTACCATTAGGTATAGCCTGGTAAAGAGTCGTAATAAGTACGAAACTGTAGTAATTTATTGTAATCGTAGTATTAGTATTTCGAGATGACCGAATTACACGAATCCAAACAAAACACAGAGAGGGCGGGATTCAGGAATTTGTATTTAGCAGAATTCTAATGCAATTCATACATGAAACATATTAGCAATCAACAGTAAGTACTTAAACAACACAGAGATAGAAATTGTCAATCACCACATCCGCCACACGTCGAATATCTCCTTGCGTACTTATAACGATGTCTCAGTTTGCTTGCAAGTAGCTGCAACCTTCTAACTGATTCTGTGATATTATCTTCATCACTGTTATCTGGACTTATTTCTGAATTATCTACAAAATCAGGATTAGTAGCGGAATCATTACAATTATAATTGGAACGACCTACTTCATTTATTTTCCCTTTGTCCAGGTGTCTGTTATGAACTGAGTGATCTTTGATGTCTAATATCTTCACCACTCGATTTCCCATTTTTTGTAGTATGATTCCAACAGAAGGTCTGTAGTCATTCCCTTTGTAATAATGTACATTAGAAGTCGTGGACATCAGATGCTTTTTGAGAATTCGAGATTTGAAAAGTTTTGCAGGACTTTCACGGGTACTTGTATGCTCTGCATTCAACAGACGCAGTCTATGCATATGCAACAATTCCTCCATTTTAATCAGTTGCTCTCTCATCTCATTCAGGTCTTTTCGTGTTTTCGACAGTTCGCATTGTAACTCAGCTACCTCATTTTTGGAAACAGTTGACGCTTGAGTTGCTGAACTTGTAGTGGAGGTTTTCATTGGATGAGATTGAGTATTTTGAAAAGTTGAAAGACACATTGACTCCATTTTACTAGACAGATTGGGAGAATTATAAGAATTCTGAGTAACATAAGTATTCGAACTTCTGCAAACAGTCTTGATGTGTCCAACTTTACCACATTTATGACACTTAGCACCCCGAAAACGGCAAGTGCTTCGTAGATGTAACTTTCCACAGGAAAAACACGGTTTAATGTTTTTGATCTCTCGCTGCATTCTATTACCTGTGGACGACAGTTTGGATTGCTTTCCATGACCACTTGTATTTTCGACTTTGGACAACATGACATCAGATACTGACGTAGTGGGAGCAGAGTATTCACTGTTGACATCTTCATATGTAATACATAAATCTTTAGCAGTTTGAAAGGTACAAGAAGGAATCTGAATTAACTCTTTCTCTAACTTAGGAATATTGATTCCAGCAATTAGACGATCACGTAGTTGAGTATGCAGCTGATCTCCAAAGTTACACTTTGAAGCTTGAATTTGAAGTTGAAGAATGAACTCTCGAATCTTCTGGTTGGGAGCACGAACCAGTTTGTTGAATTGAGCCCTCTCTCGCGTCTCAAAAGTAGTTATATGGAAGTGATCTATCAGAAGTTCACGGAGCTCAGCATATGGCAGAGAAATAGGTTTATCTGGAAACGAAAGATTCTTCACTAGGCTATACGCATCTAGCCCAATAGCAGTGATGAAATGTGCTGGTATTTTGTCATCCCGAACATTCTTTGAAATGCACCACGCATCGAAGCATTCCAAATAATCAGCAATCTCCCATTAAGAGGAAATTTTCCCAGGTTATTTAGTTCCATAGCGACACCAATTTGTAGTAATTTATTGTAATCGTAGTATTAGTATTTCGAGATGACCGAATTACACGAATCCAAACAAAACACAGAGAGGGAGGGATTCAGGAATTTGTATTTAGCGGAATTCTAATGCAATTCATATATGAAACATATTAGCAATCAACAGTAAGTACTTAAACAACACAGAGATAGAATTTGTCAATTACCACAGAAACCTATACCCCAATGCTTTATATATATATATATATATATATATATTGCCGATTAGTGTTGAAAAACGATCATTTTATAAATTCCAGTTAGTACTTGAATTCTAAGAGTTTTGTGTTTGATACTAAAATATAACCAATCAGTAATTTCACTAAAAGACCTGATGATGGCTTATCACACCTGTTTTAAAACCGAGTTCTTGTTCTACTAAAATCAATACGCATAGAATTTTTAATCAGAAAATGTGTCAGATTCTCTGTAAGTAGACTCCAGAATACTTTGTTGACAATACCAAAGAGAAACTAAATTTTAAACACCAGTATAATTTAACTGGGCATGCTAGTATTTTTGATGACAATACTGCAGATGTTCACTTCCTCAACTCAGTTTAAATGTAGCATTGATAGTGACCAGAGTTATACTACAACCTGCATTGAGATATGATTCAAAACACTTGCCTCCAAGTTTCTGAGAAGAGGCTTTACAGAATAAGTCCCTTTATGTAAGGTAGTTTGTTCATAAGAGCAGATCATGAGGAATACTTTAGCATATATAGCCTTTACTCATCTGATGTATTTTTAATGTGGATATTTATTAATCAGTTCAGTTATTAAATCAAAAATCTAGACATGAGCTAAAGCACCACATTTATAAATGGCTGAATAACAAAAGTTGCTAGTACATGATACAGCTTTTGATATTTTTTTTTACAACGTACCCGAGTCGAGCCACATATTATTTCGCAGGTTACATTACATCACATGATAAACTTCATATTACTCCTTCATATGTAAACCCTCAATAAATGAGGAATATTTTGAAACTGAATACACGGTAAATTTTTAAACTATATGTTCATATATAATCCAAAATAGAGCTTTATTATTAATCTTATGAAATTCCAAGTTCTCATAACCATATATGAACGTATCAACAGGCTTTGGTTTGTATACGTAATTTCTAACTTAACAGGAAATATAAGATTTCATTTTCAACCTTTTATTGTCGCCTGACTTGGATAAGCGTTCAGATATCCTTGATACCTGAATGTGAACACTTCAACCGGTAAGAAAATACGCTTAGGATTCGGTGAATAAATCTAACATTCAGTGAGTAAAGTTTACCTATTTTTGATGTTATTCGTTGGTTAGTAGTGCAAGATTCATTTTATCCAGTGATTTAAAATGATATTATACTTATTTTGAATGAATGATAGGAAGTTCATTTTCAGTTTAAAAAATTATTTACAGCCAAAAATTAAAAACAACTAAAGATCAGATATGCTACTTACTAATGTATACTTATGGTGGGAGAAGTTATTTTGAGAGTAAACACTTATAGGTGCCAGATAGTTTCGTAAATACAGAGATTAAAACAAAAGATTAATGTTATGTAAAACAGTGAGTTGTAAATAATCAATTTTCCTGGAGAAGTTTGTATAAAACGCCCATGCTTGTTTCTAAATTTGTAGTGCAGTGAATAAACAGGTAGGGGAAAAAATGCTAATATGATCTTGTTTAGAAAAGAATACTTTAACAATATTTGATTATTGCTTCTGTTATGATTCAATAAGGTGATGCTGTTTACAATTGGTTGTTAGATTTGATAAGTAATTTGTCCAATAGAAGTGTTGTTTCTTCCTATTCAAATAATTCAACAGACACAAGTATGAATGCTTCTACACTGCTAAATGCGATTGTTTATCGTTTATCAAAAGACGATATGAACTGATTCAACGGCAGGTGTGAAACAATGAGTGAGGATATTGAAGTAAATTTACCAACAAGCATAATTATTACTATAGAAGGGATACTTGGTACCATATTCAATATGATAGCAGTTATTGTTATGTTTACAACACAATTGGGTTCAAATTTAACAATGCTTATGCTAAGAGCTCAAATAATAATTGATTTCACCTCATGCTTTACCACAACTATATATTATGTTATGCAGTTTGCTAAAGTAGATAACAAACTGACAGGATTATACATTATCGATATGATGATATGCCATTTGTGGTTTAGAAATGCAATATTTTGGTTAACATGTATTTTAAGTGTACAGAATCTTGTCTGTATATCATTTGATCGCGTTCGCTGTGTTATATTTAAAAACATGTACAAAGTTTATACATTTAAATTGACTATAGTATACTTTGTTTATATGGTGATTATGGCATGCGTATTGTACACACCATCCCCACTGCTCCGCCGATATGCTGGTGATCATTGTGAAATGGAATTCTTATTACCATGGTTTAAATCAAATATATTTCTAAATTACATTGTGTATAGTTGGATTTTATTTGCGTATGTTGTACCCGTCATGGTTATGATTACAAGTCATATCTGGGTAATCAGAGTCATAAGGAAATCACATTCATCACAATTAAATGTAGAATCACAGAATGCAGAAGCCAGTGTAAGAGTTAAACGTAAAATAAGCCAACTGGTAATAACAACTGCAATTATGTCTGGACAGCAAATTATACTACACCTTTATGAATGTGTATATCAAACACTAATTGTAACTAATCTTACAAAATATAGATATGAAACAGTAACCGGACAGATGAGTACACTGTTAATTTTACTTAGTTCTGTCTTAAATCCGTGCGTTCTCGTTTTGACTACATCTGCTCTGAGAAAACATGTATTGCGATCACTGAAGATAGTAGCAGACATCATAAAATGGAGGGGAAGGAAGAACCACACCAACACAGAAGTATTGTAATTACTGACATGCGAGATATCAGATACAAGTCAGACTAACCTGTGCTTAAATTCTTTCGTTGATTAATAACTTTCGGTTGGTTTCAGTAAATCGATAATTATATGATAAAAATGAAATAAAAATTGAGTTGAGCAGTCAATATTCGCTGACAGTATGTATCACATCATGTTATGCTTATAAATGAACAATTCTTACTACGCATTTATTTCACTTAATTAAATAAAAGTAATGCAGTGTTCTGAAAATTTTGTACAAACATGTTACCTTGACTTATGCAAATGAGAATCGCGCTGTAAATGAACTATTTCTTCGACATTCCATTGATTTTTGAACACATTTTGTTGGACAGCTTATGACCACTATAAATTTGAAAAGATGTTCTTTATGTGTATGACTGTAAAACATGTATATATGCATATCTCTTTGTTTAGAACAACTTGAAATTTTAATTGTAGTAAATGTTTCGTTGTTTCGGATCGATAAATTTGAAGTGTTTAATATAGATACATCTCAAAGTAGTTAATGTAACGAACTGATTGATATTGGTTAGAGAAATTCAAAAACAAGATGTAGTGGTGAGATGCTTCATTGTACTCTAAGACATTACCTCAGTCATGCTTACCAATCTCAACTATTATCAATCCCACTAGTGTACGTTTTCGTTGTCGGTACATTATCATTTCGATACTTTCTGCTCAGATCCCAATAAACTTAGTCCACTGACTCTTAAGGACTCGTGATGTGATACGATCATCATCCCATATTATGTATATCTTCACATTGATCGATCACAACAATGTGATAATGGGGTTAGTTTTAATAATAAATACAGTCAGTGCCGATATCTACTACCAGATAATTGAAAAGAGGAATTGAATACTCACAATACATAGTTAATTTCTGTCTAAACAACAGTATAACAAGATATTGCAATTTATTTAAACGAAGAGACTTATGCATGGAGTCATATACATGCACACTGAAAACAGTTTTTAAATAGTTTAATTCAAGTTTAGATTTTCCCGTCGACTGATTGGACCGAAGTGCTCGGTCTCAGGTTGACATGTAGGCTTCTTGTACAAATGCTTCGACGATGTCTGGACATTTAATTAGAATCCAATTGGTGAATAGTGACTAGCAGTGGAATCCAGGATGTGCATTTCGTCCTATTTGGGACTCATCATCTGGATGTAATGAGAAGATCCCATTAACTTTTATCCTTATTATACAATTTTCTCATATGTCTATGAGTCTTTGTGAAAAGTGTTGGTTCAAAAGGAGATAATAAGTGATCGTATGCGAACTTAAGACAGACTATAAAGGATATGTTGCTAAGTCATTCAGAAGACAAGACCAACAGCGAACTAGTGTTTGCACACATTTATTCCAATGTATCTGAATAGCCTAGCAAAATGTCGTTTAATTTCTGTAGAAGTTAACTGATGTCGACTATACATGAAAGTATCAAAAGTTTGTAATCATGCGAATATTTTGGCAATATCAGAATTAAGGCAGTGGACGATGTTATGGAAAAAATTATTTTGATGTTTATTTTATATGAGAAGTATATCAGAAACATAAGGAGAGATAATATCAAACTAAAGTAAGAATGTTTGACATGTAGTAGGTGTAATTAACTTACATTATACTTAGAAAAAACAGTTTATTTTTCACAAGGTAAAAGTAAAGTCTGATAGATCAGTTAGCTGAGTATATTGTGAGTAACCGTGATATCGTCCATTTACATATAGCTTGCATTCAAGAACATATATTAGTAGACGATAACTGATAAGTCTGATGCGTTCTTAACTAGTGATTGAATATCATCAAACAACTTTGAAGTTCATCTCTTGAACTTAGTAACTGCATAAGAAGTTGTACCATATTTTCTTACTAAGCAATCACTACATGAATAATATAGAGGTCAACTTTGGCTCTATTGGGGATGAAGATTTGAATTTCATAGGAAATGTTAGTTTCCTTAATGTTATGGACGCACTTTGATTATCCTTGCCAAAAAGTGTAAGGGTTTGTTAAAGCCCAGTCTTGTTTCAGTTGACTTTTGATATTTGATTCAGCCACCATTGCCTTATTTTACGATAAAACAAATGTTCGACACCCATATTTCTTCACTTATTGAGATTATATAAAGAAAGTTGTCTCTAAGTAATGACTTATGATTAAAGTTTGCTGATTGTTTTTACTGATAATTTCAGAAACTACAGATGCATTTCATTCAGATGTAATTGACATTGTTCAATGGAGAGAGAGAGAGAGAGAAGTGAGTGGCGTAAGAAGAGAGCAAAGGAAATTATACTACAACATCACAATCATATTATTCAGCATTACAGAGCCATATTAAATTAAATGTTTGTAATTTTTTTTTAATTAAGACGTTTTTGCACAGCATTACTTCTAAACTTTCCAGATGATAAACAGTTGGTATGAAGGTATGTATTCGCCTGATAAAAGTACGTTTTTCCAACCAGTACTACTACCTGATAACTTAGCAGTTGCCAAAAAAATGACGATTTATAATTTTTGACCGTGATTTAAAAAAAGTAGATGCACAGCATCTTAGTGCCTGTAGTAGGTGATGAGTTAAGCGCACTGGAAATTCAAACCAGTTTGTAATGATCAGGTTGCCCACAAATGCTTTTTTCCGTTTGTCATACATTTTTAGGTCCTAAAGTCTTTGAAAGATTCTAGAGGTACACTTTTCAGATGCAGTTACTTCGCTAAGCCCATGTATGCGACAACTTTCTTTTATGTTAATCAAACGACTTAGTCGGCCAACAGATTTTATTCGTACTCCTGTAAAGAAGATTCATTCACTTAACTTTAGCTGAGGAACGCTTCTAGTCAAAATAAAATATTATAAAGCGGAATAACCTTACCAAAGACTCACTTTAAATATCTAACATGAATAAACTACATACTACAGTGGCATTCCAGTTTATTAAATGGTAGAATTGATGAACTATCCAACAGACATTATATGAAAGCAAGAAGTTAACAGCCATATCAGTTGCCAATGTCTGACTAATTCTTTTATTCATGGTATATGTTAACTAAATATGTCCTTCTTAAATCATTTTTTCATATAGCAAGAAACTAGCCAACCAGTTGTTGGATCACTTGTCTGTGAGTTGGTGGCATAGCGGTTAGGACGCTCGAGAATATGCACATGGTCCAGGGTTCGATCCCCGGCCGATGAAGACTTGATATCAATGGTCAGCCTGCTAAATTTGGGCTACCGGTATCACAAGCTGAAAATTCCGTAGTTGTACCAAAATACTTTGTAGAATCAAGCTATAATAAAAAGGAAATACCCTCTAGCAACTTTTCAATTCAGAGTAACTGTTAATTATATTGTGAAATACTTAAGATTACTTGTCTCTTCATCTTTAACTTGCAGTTAACCATTATGGTTCGGCATGCCTGCATAGCACATGAAAATTTACAATCATTTTTCCAGCTAACAAAACTATTTCGAAATAAATACGAAAAAATTGTTAATTATTGTAAAATGCCTATAAGTCACTGTCATACATAGTAAAATTTATGTTCATTCTTTTTTCGACACAGAACGTGTTTTATTTGAAGAAATTTCTCAGAATAAATTGAAGATTGAATAATAGTGAGTCAATATGCATGGAAATATTTTCTATCAATAATGTTTTATTGAACTGAGGTAAAGACAAAATTCATCCAATGAAATTAATTAAATTGGTAGTGTTTACACGCACTGGTAGGTCTGTTTTACTCTGACGAGAATAGTATCTTAAGACCGCATATACATACAGGAAAAAATGATTTTATTGTTAGAAATTCTAGTCTGGAGTACATTACTGCATGAATTACAAGGGGCAATAACACAGGATGAAGGTAATTCAATTGTTTTCGTTCTCAGATACGACTTCCTGCTTCCATATATGAACATTGGGCAATGTATTACCTTCCTAAAGAGTACTACATATCATACTATAATGGTTTTCCATTATAGATTTATCATTCAGACTTTGTTATATGATTTGAAACCTTAGACAGTCAGCGAATTATAGAATCTTATGTTTAAACTAACTCTAATTATAGTACTCTAATTAGCCTGTACTATCTTATAACATTTGTGGAAATGGAATAAAGATAATACTTTTTGCAGTAAGAAAGAGTTATTATGATTGAGATATAAGGTGTTCAATACATTTACGAATAGAACCAGCGTGAATTTCCCTTTTATAGTTACATCCTCAGATTTGTCTATACGGTATTTATTCCAACAGCTTATGGTTATGAGAGTAGACTAGTGGGCTTCTTTAAGAACACATTATAATGGATTACAGAGGAAGCAGAATGATTTTTTCTGTTTTATATATTTTGCCTTTTTTTATTGCGTGATGACTGACATGAATTGTTATGAATCACATCCTAAGTGGGACGCTGTAGTGAGATGTATATGAGTTGTGGTCAGTAACTATACTACAACTGAGATTTAGACCTAGCGTTTAAGCGATTACGCTTAAAACAACAGAATGCTCTAAAATAGGTCATTAACTTTCGAAAAGTACGTTACTATTTACTACATATAAATTCAGTGGATGCGTCCCAAGTAATAACAACTGGCCCCCTTAATTATACTTCTAGCAGTCACTGGACAAATGAGGTCAAAATGAAACAAAACAATTTCAAAGTCTCCCTTACAAGATCAGATATGCTAAGAAGCCAATCAACATCATTCACCTTATAAACTGAGCTAATCGTTCTCCAGACAAAGGAATAAGAAGACCTAATTTGTCTGAATCGTGCAATTTATTTGTTCAACACATTTCGGACAATCTGATGACACTCGGGGCTGTCATAGGAATATATGTGAAATTAATAAAGAGTAAAGAGGTGAGAAATTACACTAAAAAGAACAGATACTATACATGATCTTAGCTCAGAGAGCCGAACAGCGATAAGAAGCCGATAAAACTATTGTTTCTCTGGAATTTCTTGCCAAGAAGTTGTGGAACTTACTGTAATTATTGGCCTTTCGAACATTGAATCTGTGGATAAAACCTTGTTGAACGATAATACCTACAACTATACGCTGGTCATTTTGTGACTGTCTAACAATAACTAATATCTATAATAGTATGTATTGATGGATTTACATGTCTAAGTCGGCTCAAGTCAGTGAGTCTGTGATTTCGGTATCATTTTTGTTAACTGTATCTGACTGTGATACTACTGCTAAAGGAATTTTTTATTGTTGTTGTCACTGCCCTTCCTGCTGTGAATTATTTTCCTTTTGCTGGTGTTGTTCTGATTGCTTTATTCCTTGTTTTCCTGATTTTAAGGGTAGCAACCCAAGAGGTCGCTTCTCTCTAAACTTTATCTTAATGTAACCATTCCTTTCTCAGGCGTGAGGCTAGCAACCCCACCCTGTAAACAAAATTGCTACAGAAACTTCAGCACGATGAATCCCTTTGCATCAACAGAAAAAGTATTTGTGGAGACATGAAACGTCCGCACTATGTACGAGATTGGAAAAGCTGCCCAGATCGCCAACGAGATGAAAAGATACAGAATCCAAGTATTGGGAATATGTGAAAGCAGGTGGAACCGGAATGGACTCACCAAATTGTCAACGGGTGAGTAAGTGATCTACTCCGGTCACCCAGAAGATAACCACACGCACACCGAAGGCGTGACTATCATGATGTCACCAACGGAAACAAAGGCCCTGATACAATGGGAGGCGATCTCGTCCAGGATAATGACCGCCAGATTCAACTCCAAAGGAATGAAAGTGTCAATTATACAATGTTATGCACCCACAAACAACGCAGACCTCGAAAAGAAAGAAGAATTCTACACACAACTACAGGCAACAATGGACAATACTCCAGCTGGTGACATTAAAATACTAATGGGGGACAGGAACGCCAAACTGGGACCAGACAACACAGGAAGAGAACTCATCATGGGTCGAAAAGCTCGCGGAGAAATGAATGAAAATGGAGAACTCTTCGCTAACTTCTGTGCCTTCAGTGAACTAGTGATTGGCGGCAGTGTATACAAGCACAAGGATATCCACAAGGCTACATAGATATCACTATACCGGATGAACCAGAAACCAGATTGACTTCATCTCAATAGTGCTCGAGGAAGTAGAGACCCAGCATAATGGACACAAAAATAAGAAGAGGAGTAGACGTCGGCTTAGACCACTATCTCGTACAAGGGACAATCCGAATCAAATCAAAAGCTTTCACAGAAACAGGAGCTGCAGATAGACCACAAGCCAAGTTCAACACTCAAAACTGAAAGACCAGGATACAAAGGACATCTTCACTGCAAACATAAGGGAAAAAGCCGAGACACAAATCAACACTTGCGAAGATGTCAGCGTTGAGAAGCACTGGGACAACCTTAAAGTGGTGTGGAGTCAAACCTGCATGGAGGTTCTAGGCAGAAAGAAGAGACAGGATAAACAGTGGCTCACTACGGACACATGGAGATTAATAGAAGAAAGAAGGATGGTGAAACAAAAGAACGTCCAGTGCACTGATGAGCAACAAAAACAGGAGCTGAATGCAAGCTACAATACACTGAACAAAAGAGTGAAGAAGAGTGCCAGGGAAGACAAAAGAAGATATTATGAAGATCCGGAAAGTGAAGCAGAACAAGCTACAGGCAAAGGAGACCTCGTCACAATCTACCAAACCACTATGCTCCTATCAGGAAAGAGATCAACACAAGTTAATCCAGTGAAGGATGACAACGGAAAATCAATCATCAAAGAGATGAACCAAAGGAAATACTTCAAAAGACTTCTAAATCAACCATCACCTACAACACGCCCAACAATACCAACAACGGAAGCAGAACTACCAGTGAACATCAACTTTCCGACTAGAACAGAAATCCTGAAGGCCACTAAGATGCTAAAAGCTGGAAAAGCAGCAGGACCAGACGGAATCCCTGCAGAAGCACTGAAAATGAACCCAGAGACAACAGCGGACTTGATGACACGACTACTGGAGAAGGTGTGGAAAGAGGGCAGGGTACCTAAGGATTGGATGAAATGCTACTAATTCAAACTTCCAAAGAAAGGAGACTTAAGTCAATGCAAGAACTGGCGTCGCATTATACTCCTGTCCATCCCAAGCAGAATAATGCGCCGCATCATCCTAGAGAGAATCAAACACGCCTCATTGGATGAAGAACTTCGACCGGAACAGTCTGGATTCTGGAGAAAAAAGTCATGCGTCGATCAAGTCGCCACACTACGGATCATCATTGAACAAACCTTAGAATAGCAATCACCTCTCTATCTCAACTTCATCGACTTTTAAAAGGCCTTCGACAGCGTCGATCGAGAGTTGATTTGGCAACTACTTCGCTACTACGGGGTACCGCCAACAATTATACATCTCACCCGACAGTTGTACGACAATGCTGCGTGCCAAGTAATCCACAACGGGAAACTCACGGAATCCTACGAAGTGAAAACAGGAGTAAGACAAGCTGGCTGCTCACTTTCTCCAATGATTTTCCCAACTGCGGTAGACTGGATAATGCGACAGAGAGCAAGTAGCTGGGAAACAAGCATGAAATGGACCCACTCATCTGGACTTTACCGATGATGTATGTCTGATTTCCCACAAACTGGAAGATATGCAAGTGAAAAGCAACAAGTTGGCGGAAGAAGCATCCAGAGAAGATAAGAATTCAGGTGAACATAGAGAAAACAAAGGTGATGGAGATTCCTGGTCAACAGCATTAATCATCATAAATGGGAGAAATATGAAAGAAGCAATCCCTTTTACCTACCTGGGTAGCATCGTTCCAACTACAGGTGGAACTGATGAGGATATCAAGGCGATGGTGGGGGAAGTAAGGCAAGCTTTCATTACTCTCAAGTCTGTGTGGAGATCAAAAGCACTCAGCATGAAAAATAAAATCCAGATTTTCAACTCCAAGTAAAGTCAGTTCTACTATACGGATCAGAGATTTGGTGTGTCACGAACGGAACTTCAAACAACAGCTGTCTTCGCTTAAAAGTCGAGATTAGATGGCCAGAAAAGATCAGCGATAGGGAGGGATCTCTAGGAGCGAACCAATCAGGAACCGACTGTGCAACAAATATGCAGAAAGAAATGGAGGTGGATTGGCCATACTCTGAGAAAACCATCAAGTGACATCACAAGACAGGCCCTTGAGTGGAAGCCTAACGGGAAGCCGCAAGACGGTCGTCAGTGTGAGAGTGACTTGGAGGAGGTCATGTGAAGAGGAGATGAAAGCATGTGGGCAGACTTGGAGCGGGGTGAAAAAGTTGGCAGAAAACCGAACGCAATAGAGACGCGCGGCTGAAGCTCTATGTTCCTCCAGGAATTAAAGGAAATAATAATAAAGAGGCGAGAAAATAAATTTAGGTCAAGTTAAAAAGACATATTAAAGATCAAAATAACAATGAAGGTCACTAAACCAAATAACAGAGGTAACAGTACATCTGCTATGTTATCAAAACAAGGAAGGTGTAGTGTTATGACGAACTGTTTCCGAATGCATAAGGTTGGTTTAAACTTCCCAATCTCTAGGGCTTCCACAAACTTTAGGATGCCCCCCAAATACGTTCTACAGATAGGTCTAAAAGACGTGTAAACATCAATTTTATGTCTTGTCTCTATAATATATTTCAAAATAGAGGAGCTACGTCGTTTGTTCTCACAATTAAGAGGTTCTAGGGATTCTGTTTCCTTCTGAAGTCATCTAATAATAATAATTTTTGCTTTATTCCAAAAACAGTACTAATGATACAGCAAGGAATTTTCAGCATTCAGTACAATGTTGCATCTAATTTACTCAAAAAAGACGAAAAAAGAAACATAGCTGCTATAACAACGTTTTGTTATTATTATGTAAATTACAGAATGCGATAAGGAGAAAAATATGCATAAAGTATAAAATTATAGTAATAAAAGTAATAACATCTAAAATAAAATAGCAAAGTTATAATTAAACGATAGAAAGGGTGACACCATAAAATTACAGAAAGATGAACGATGAAAGGGTCGATTCACTTTGCTAATTACATAGTAACTCATATGTTTCACGTCTAACAGTGTTTTCATCACATAAAATACGGGCTAAATACGGTATTGTGGAATTTCTCTACTTAGTGGTTCGAGCATATAACTTCTTATATTAACTTCTCGTCCTACCTGAAGAGATGCAAGGGGATAGTTGCGAATAAAGAGGGTGGAGGGGGTCTGACAATAGGGCCTTTGACCATTTTGTACAGGAATTTATGTGTCTGTCGAATATAGTATCGGCGAGCTCACGCAGTGGCATACCACAAGCCCTACTCACAGCATTTAATACCCTTCGTAATATGATATAGTCTTTTTTGAGAAGCTCAGGAAAGATTAATGGAGAGCAGTAGAGTACAATAGGTAAAATATAGGAGTTTACAAACTGCAGAAGTAAAGGTTGGTTGATACCTGATTGTCTAAACTTTTTAATGTAGAAGCTAAAACAAAAAATTTTCTTAGAGATAGATAAGATGTGGGATGACCATGAATGGTCAGAGGAAAGAACTAATCTTATTTTTTAAATTTTTATTTTTGATTACAGCTTGATTCCACACTGCTCTTTTGGTACAGGTATGGAATTTTCAGCATGTGATATTGGTAGCCCAAATTTCGCAGGCCGACCATAGATATTAGGTGTGCGTCGGCAGGGGATCGAACCTCGAACCATGTGCATGGTCAGCGAGAGTCCTAACCACTGTGCCACCAAGGTATTTATTGATTGGCTTGGTTTCAGTTTCAGTTCCATCTATGCTACAGGCATCATGGGAACTAACTAGTTCATGCATGTCACGTCGATGCTTGAAAGTAAACTGCCTGACATTCGGAAGGATTTAACATAAGACCATTTGACTTAGACCACTTGCTGATGTCCAACAGAAAGCTATTAAGTTTGGAGCAATCAGACTTGATAGGCAGTGATACAGTCAGATCATCTGCATATTTGACAAAGTTAGTTTCGTTTAAATGAGGCAGGTCGTGTAGGAAGAAAGAAAAAAAAGAAAAGGAGAAAGGACGGCACCTTGAGGAACAACGGCTTTTGTAAATGAGGCAGAAGAAGATTTGCCATTACATACAGTATACTGCATTCTATTAGAAAAATAAGAATGCAACCAACTCTTAGCCCAGGATCCTGTTTGCATCAACGAAAGTTTATTTAATAAAAGCCCCTTAGGTACAGAGTCAAAAGCAGATGTGTAGTCTAGGAAAGCACCACGAACATATTTGGCACCTTTGTCTAAACAAGAAACAACATTATGATATAAGACTACCTCAGCATCCAAGGTACTTCTGCCATGCTTGTATGCAAATTCTTTAGGATCATCAAAAGGCTCTGAAGCCCTTACTTGCAGAGATTAATGAGTCCTCCCTATGTATGTATCCACACGTGCATTCAAATTGGTAGACACAGTGAGCGTAAATACGTGCTAAAATTATGAAGCATTTTTGATCGGTCTTACAAATTATCTTAAGTATGTATACAACATAAGTTTAAATTCACTGAGGATAATCATTTAAAAATAGTTTTTTTTTCTTTCACAAAAATACGCTTATTGAAGAGATTAAGGTGTACTTATTTTTCGCTTCCATGTTTACACATATCTGCACTTTTAAAAAAGATTTAGCTATAGCCTAATCATCATAATATTCAGTAACCTTAGGCTTTTTAAAGTACATCAACTTAGATCAATATGACTCTTTTTAAAATAAAGGTGAGAATAACGGATTTTATTAGAATTTATTAAAAACAAAATTGTTTACATTGATAAGCGATTAATTAAATAATGATTGAAAACATTTCCTTCCCCATGTAAATTTAAATCAAGTAGCAAACATCATTATTAGTAGTATTAACTGAATTCTTAGATTTTAATATAACGAAGGGGTTGAATATGAATTGTAAACTTGGAGTGCTGAGGGATATGACTGAGTAAAAAATGTGAAATTACTTTTGTATGACTATAAGCAGTAAACGGTGTTTAGAGCTTTATAATCTTTCTAACAGTTCTGAACTGCTTGTATGGATTATCAACTGGATTTATGCATTGCGGAATGATACATTGTAAGATCATTGTTCAATGTGAACAACAACAAAAACTGTTAAATATCAAATATACAACAAACTGAAATAAAAACCAAATAGAGGATATTTTACTTTAATTTGCACCCTAAGCGTGCTTATCTCGAATGACTGTTAAGTTACATATCAACGATATACCTTAGTGTAGTTCACTTCAATTTATCAATACCTATTTGTAAAAGTCAAAATGAATCGTTCATACTGAATACTAGTTACGTATTTTTCCTTTATGCATCGGCGGCTCACCAACCACGTATGTGGTCCACGGTCGACGCACTCCTTTACCTGTCTAAGCCAATAATAAAACCAGTAAGGAGGGAAGGTTGGCCATGATGCTAGCAAACCCACCCCGTAAAAATAAAACACTACTGCTACTGAAACTTCAAAGCTCAAGCTCGAAGCCCTATGTTCCACTGGGAACGTAAGGGTGTAACAACAGAAGACAAGGCCAGTCAACGGATCGTTTATTAAGGAAATCAACACATATTTATAGGTTTTCATGTACATATGATAGATTATTGTTAACAGAAGAACACAGTCTTCTGATTGGTTGTTTCTCACAAGAAGTTAACCTTGCATATATTTGTGACTGTTTCTTGAATGTCAGATCATCTATATGTTAACTGTATCCACCTACGCAAATTCTGCTGTGGTTGGTTTTTGAATCAGTCTTTGTTCATATTTTCTCACGACCAATATTTGGGACGTCAACACTGACGTAAATTACTGTCTACCAATTTGGCTAGTAGACAAGGGAATAAAATAGATTTGTGCTTATACCACGTTGAATAACCTGTGGTAGTACAGTGTCATTTTACACCATATAATACTGGTTAAAGTAAGTCAAATTAAATCAGTTTCTCGTACAATTAGTACGCTTTATATACTTTGTAAGACAAAAAACCAAACGTTATGGGATGAATCACATTTATTTTACTTCGTTTGCTTTTCACCTTATAGATATACACAATTCATTAGTTTAAGATGTCATTGTCAAATGTGAAAAATAAATCATTTCAGGATTTCACCATGAGTTGATGTTGGTTAGAGAATCACTAGAAAAACTGAGAGTAGTAGACAGACATTTCGTCCTAGTTTGGGACTCTTCACAGTACTCACCAATCAGGGTTCGAAGCAGCTGTCCAGTATTCCCAGATTTTCTAGTGGTTCTATAACCGATGTCAGCTGATGATGAAATCCTGAAACCAATCAAATCCCTCCAAACTAACACTTGAATAAATCAGTTATATTTAACATCCTTTACAAATAAGAGTCTGAGTTATTAACAATGCATTAATTTACCTGGTTTTTTTACAATAATTCATTTAAAGAATGTCTTCGAACTATCAAGGCTGATGTTGTTTTCCTCATTGATGGAACAAATGCGATTGATCAATTTTCATTTGAATTCTTCGTCAAAGACTACCTGAATGATTTTGCGAGAAAAGTAAGATAATCAAATTATTTTGATTTGTATGTGTCTTTGATGTATCGTTTAATTGTTAAGAGATGAGTAGCTGAAAAATCACTCAAGTAACTACACATATTTAATGAGCACTCAGTGAATATAACACCGCAATGATTTAATTTAAAACTAACAAATCTGAAATCAACTATAAAAAGTATGAATTTCAATATATGAGCTTTCATTAGATATGATGGAGAGGATTTGTAGCTAAGGTGGATGATTTTGATGTAGTTGTGTTCTCTGAGCTGGATGGTTTGTTTGAGAAGCTTTCGTTGCCCTCCTAGGCAACATCTTCATTGCATGTGTCAATAGACACATTGAGATAGACAAAATCTACCAATCGATAAGAAGGAAATCCCACACACAAAGCGTTAAACTTCAGGTCAAGAAAACAATCAGCACCAATATCAATACTAGTAGCCTAGAGGGTGTGAAAACACACAGAAACAACCAATCACATTCAAGGTCACCAAGAGAGATGACTAATAAACTCGTAAAGAAATCTAAAAGCTCACCTCAAATTGGAGTATGTGCTGATGATGTTACCTAGTAGCACACTGAAAGATTCGCAGATAAACCATCCAAGTTCAGAGAACACAACTACATCAAGAGCTTTCATTATTTTGGTGCGGTATTACCAAGTCTATTCACAGAAACACCTGAAAATAAATTCTGTATTACACAGTGTAACCCAAATTCATAGAAGAAAAGTAACATATTATCACTCTAGTGGAGATTTTTGTCGCAAACTTATTTCAGATGAATGAAAACTGAAGTGTACTGAATAGCTGTTTTTATAGCTCAGAGATGTTTCTCAGGTCATATGACTCTGACCGTTTTGGACCGTTAAGTTGTATGACGACCGCGTAAACATCCAGTCAGTAGACTATATTCCTCGACTTCTCCATATGATACCAGTACCATCCAACGTAACCGATGAAAGGTTACTGTCATGCTGATATGTGAAATTAACAGATTTTAGCCTAATGCATGAACATCTGTGCTTCATAATATATGGGTAGAGAATTAGATCTCTAATGTAATCGGTTTGAGACTGCTGAAGAGTAGAAAGCTGGGGCGTAACAACTGTTCATCATTCATAGTACGAATTAGGGATTATACTGGATTATTTTGAACTGGTAGTACGAATACGAAATAAACTTTCTGGAATTCTTCAGTCTACTTCTTGATGTCGTTACTTAATAAGGCGGGAAAGGCGGAATATCGTTCAGTTCTTCGAAATTTATATTTCAACATGACTCAAAGTTTTTCTTAATGATGCAAATGCGTTCAAACTCTATGAATTATTAAATCCATCAAATTCTCATTATTCTTCACGTAATAATTCTTTCTGCCGTACAATATAATTCCTTGAATTTTATTCGCTGCCTTTGGATTAGCAGCTATTTGCATTCCGTAAAGACGTTTTGTCTTTTCATCTGAGATGGAAGTTTTATTAATGCGCATTGTTTTCTTTGAATATTGTGTTATACAAGTTGTTAATTGAATTCTTTCAGCTATCTATTAAAACTGATGGGGTGTTAATCTCTGTTATTCTTTATACTGAAAACTTATACATGGCAGTTAGACCAGAACATTCCACCAATTTACTCACCTTGTTAACTGCTATACGTAATATGAAACAACCTGGTGGACACAAAACAAACGGCGACATTATTCATGCAATTTCAAATACTTTAAATATTGCATTCACTTCTCTGAATTACAAGAATACAGAAAATATAACACGAATTGCCATTCTATTATCAAATGGAGTTCTAGAACAAGAATCATCCATGAATTATAAATATTTTGATAATAATGCGTATCAAAAATGGAGTGAGCATGGATGGAATAATCAGGCACCATATATGATGTCTGAACCAATCATAAAACTTTTACATTCACGTGTAGATTATGTATTCAGTATAGGAATAGTAGGAGCTAATGCAGAAGGAGTTCTTAAACTGGCCAAACCTACCCGCTATAACTATGTATTAAATTATCAAAATGGATACCAAAACCTAGATCTGAATCATTTTGATCCAACTGAAGCATTATGTCCACCAAAAGGTAAGAATTTGTCTTTTCTCTGTATTTTTAGGCTACGAGAAGGTGACAAAACTTAAGTGTAGATAGACAGCTTTTCTTTTCCCAACGTACAAACAGCTTTGTTTTCTATTTAAGTGTTGGTTTGTACGGATTTGGTTGATTTCAGGATTTCATCATGAGCTGACATTAGTTAGAGAACCATTGGAAAACCTGGGAGTACTGGACAGATGTTTCGTCCCAGTTTGGGACTCGCCGAAGACATTGGCTAGCGGTCGCGCTATGTCGTGAATTGGCAGAAGTTAGAATTCAAGGACCATTGGATCGGGTCCCAGTGGCTTAATGGTATGCGAGCTTGCCTTGTAACCGTAAGGGCCTGGGTTCGAATCCCGGTGGGTGCGTACTGCTAAAGACTCCCAAACTAGGACGAAACAGCTGTCCAGTACTCCCAGGTTTTCCAATGGCTCTCTAACTAATGTCGGCTCATGATGAAATCCTGAAGCTTTGTTTTCTATCGCTTTTTTTCCAGTTTGTAAATTCATTTGGTGTTTACTTAAATGTTTTTTTTTAAACGGATTGTAATACAGAAGTAAATCTAGTTTGCTTTACATCAATCGGCCTGTTTAAGATGACATCATTTCGAACAATTAATCCCTTTAGTGAATTCGCGTTTTGATTATATCTCAGTTGGCTTTTCATTTCTCTATTTTCACACAAACAGACTTGACAAGTAACTATATGAACAAACTGGTAAAAATATGTCCATCTATACACCATATTTTTCATATAAACCTCGTCTCCAAATGATGTTATTGTTGCCATTAAAATACAAAATATAGTTAGCGTACAATAAAGTATTAACTGAATCCTCCAGAGAAAACAAAAAAATCAGCAATCCTGTGAGTAATTCCATCATCTGTAGGTGATCTATTTGAATTCATGCTTGACAGGCACATGAAATATATTGAAAATGGCTATTCAGAACAGGAGATGACTCTCATGAATAACTCTTTGACGTTTGAAATGAAGGGTGTGGAGTCCGAGTTCCACTAGACAATGCGTCACTCAAAAAGGGAATACAGGTACAAATAGGAAGAAATGTGCATCCTGGATTTCACTGCTAATCACCATCAACCGAAATAATGCGGCTATTCGGAAAGATGATATTGACTAGAAAGAAGCTTCGTTTTGCACTAAACTGTGTGGAACAATCTTAAATTATCCGAACAACTAAGTGATATTAGCCACATAGGTGTATTTCAGAGAAGGCTCCAAAAGTTGTGCACTGAAATGCTCAGTTATCGGCTTGGTGTTTTCAAAACAGACGCGCTTGCTGGTGCCATTTATTTCATAATAAATATTGTCTTTATTTAATTCAGAGCTGAAATGTATCAAAATAGAGGAAGGCGTATTCAGAGGACATCGGTTCATTTTCCATTTACCTCTTAATCTTATTAACACTAAACAGAAGATTGCTAATGAGATTTCAGTTGAGCAGTGCGATTTCACATGCTGTGCTTATTGTACTAGCAACATTGTTAAGCCCGGTATCGTAAGAACATTCCTTTTGAGACAATAATTAAAAGATATATTCAAACCACTTCACTAGCATTGTAAATACGAGGTTGCATAATGCCTTTCGAATTTCACAAGCTAATAAGCGTTGGAAACGGCAAATCAGAAAGCACGGAAAGTGTATAATAAGTGACTTGTATGTCTTACTGTGCAACTGTGCATTTACTTGAAAAGTAGAAGATATAACAGAACTACTATGTTCTCAAAAAAAATTAGGACTACTGTTTAATCTCAGAAGACACTAGCATGATAAATAAATTCAAAAGAGAGATCTTACGAGGTCCACAAAACTGTCCGAAACAGGATAGTTATTAATAAGTCCTTTTCCTTCAAGAAGTTTCAAAGTGACGCTAAGTGGTGCGAAATTATTATGAAGTACAACAAGTTAAAGATGGTCAAATTGTCCAAGTGTCCAGTTTGTAGTGATGCATTCACCTTCAATGCAAGTTTCGCCACTAACATACATCAGTTAGAGAACCCCTGAAAGCAAGAGGTTGTAGGAGAGATGTTTTGTCCTATTTTAAGATTCCTCATCATAATGCACCCACGACCCTATCGAGGAATCGGACAAAGGATGTTCAGGAGACGAGGTGGGCATTCTTGGAGTGGCACTGTAACACAATATAGATGTAGCTAATATTTAACAGATTCATTTGCACATAGTTTCGAAGTTATATTGCAGTCTTTTTCACTAAGTCTAGGTGTTTCAAACATTTATTTTGCTTGATTGTAGAGTACTGCAATATGAACAGAGTACAAGAATCAATGACTTCAAAGGGGCCTATTGAAAGAGTTAATGGTTATATAGGTGGTGTGATACCTTTGTATTACTATTTTTATGGACAACAAAATCCAGCTATTAGACATAATACATATCATACAGCTAAACATTCATATACTGATTATGATGATGGATATGGTGACAGTGAATATGATGATGCAACACAAATGCAAGTACCTTCAACAGCTAATAAACCAAAAGTAGAAGATAAAATATTAAACAAAAAGCTTAGAGAATTACTAGAATTACTACGAACCTACGATACACAATATAAGAACAAAGATTCAAAGAATACTCATCATAGTATCACCACCACAAGAGAAACATCAAGTCATAACAATCATCACGGGAACACTGCAGTTAAGCAAAATCACCCATCGTCTACATCAACCATAAACACGTTTACTGATGACAACCAACAAAAGATAAAGAAAGGGTCAGACGTAGACGATCCTGCCATGAAAAAATCTCTTAAAAATGATGAGACATATTACAATCGAAGTAATTGTGAAGTACAGTTAGAGAAGGTGATAAATCTATTGGTATTCGTCCTCATGCACCCTCAAGGTGCTTCTAATTCACCAGTTATGGTCAATTCAAATGTTTTAAGTAAAACTTCAGATGAAAAATTGGAAGTAAGTCTATAGAATATAATGCCATACAAGAATTCACTAAACCAAATTCGTTATTTTAATTTTCACTATTCTGTTTAATCCGTCTGACTGAAGCATTCTTTAAGTTTAGTATATATTCAAAACAAGTAGTGAAAGTTAGTGAAGTGGGATTTAAAGAATTTAAACATTTTGGTAGAGTACCCTAGCTGGATACCCTGACTACTTTATAATATATAATGGAAACGAGTATACAGACACCTTAGCCCATTGGTCAAATTCTTAATGGCATTTAAATTCAGAGGTCGGACAGAATTCCACTCTAAGGCGCTTGGACAAATGAACGATAGTTTTGTGGATTTCAGCATGATAGCAGTATCATAGTGATGTTGTCATCCTTCTTCTGTTTTGTATACACGTTGAGCTCTATTATTCACTCTATATGATCTATTTTTTCACATATTACTTCTTTTATTACAGAAACAAATTTTCAGACTTACTCTGTTACGAGTTTCATTCACTTTATACTGTTACCACCTTCTAATTCTACCCTGTTGCCAACATTCTTATTTTGCTATAATAGAGAAGATTTGTAGCTCAGGTGGATGATTTTGATGTGGTTGTATTGTCTGAGCTGGATGGTTGATTTGCCAAGCTTTTCTCACCCTACTAGGAGACATCTTCAGCGCATACTTCAGTTTGAAGTGAACTGTTAGATTTCTCCACGAGTTTATTAATCATCTCTCCTGGTGACCTTGGAAGTGATTGGTTGTTTGTGTGTGTTTTCACACCTTCTAGGTTACTTGTATTGGAACCACAACCAACCACATCAAAATTCTTATTTTGCAATCAGCATCGTTCACAGCGATATAATTAAGTTTTTAGTATTGAGTCTTACATCCATCCACCCTTTCATAAATTCACTTGTACCTCCACACTGCTACAATTTATTTACTATTTTAGTGTATTTCAGATTTCTATCTATATTTGAATTATAGTACTTAGAAGTCAATGTAGAGCGTATTCAGCTGGGGAGTTCTACTCAGTTTTACGAATTCAGTGAAACGTGTTGTTCATTTTAAATTCATATAAGAAAAATGACTCATCAACACAGATTAATAGGCACTTATGTAAAAATTATATTTGTATAAATTTCAGTGATGCCAAAACAAATAATTCCAACGTTTTGTTCGGCTAACTCGTACAACCTTCTTCAGAGAAATAATAAAGTTAAAGTCGTATGTAAGTAAAAAGAAATATCTTATCCTCAAATTCCTTGTCCAATCACGTTTGAGTTAGGAAATGTCATGAAAACAAAATTACTTCTTATGGACTCTGATTAAGTTTTAACCGAACAGTTTCACAGTATTATTGTTATTTTTATACAATGTCTGCATATGTACCTTTATATTAAAATGAAAAACATCTACCTTCAGGAAGCCAGCAAAGTAAGAAAGACACATGTATTATACCTCCGCAAACCCTTTCACCACGGAAGTAAAAGTTAGTGCCTTCTAATCATGACCTTTATTCCAACAAGGTTACTAAGAATTAATATAAAACCATACATGCAGACGCAGTTTACAGTATATAGCAAAAAAAAACTGATAATAATTCTTCGGAACTATTCTGTCGAATCTTAATCAGAGTCCATATGAAGAAATTTTGTTTTCACTTTGTTTTGATGACTTTTCCTAACTCAGATGTGATTGGACAAGGAGGTTGAGAACAAGATATTTCGTTTTACTCATATATGACTTTAACTTTATTATTTCTCTGAAGAAGGTTATACGAGTTAGCCAAACAAAACGTTGAAATTATTTATTTATACAAATATATTTTTTACGTACGTCTGCTTTTTATTTAGCGCCCAATATTTGTGAAACTACTGGGCAAATATTGATCATATATATATATATATATATATATATATATGCTCGTCGGTGGCACAGCGGTATAATACTCGCCGACCACGCAGGTGGTTCGGGGTTCGATCCCCAGCCGATGAAATCCTTTACCTGGCTGGGCCAGAAATAAAACTAGTAAAGATGGAAGATTGGGCATGAGGCTAGCAACCCCGTCCGTAGAAATAAACATCACTGCTAAAAAAACTGCAAGCCTCTAGCTTGAAGCTCTACGTTCCATTCGGAACGTAAAGGAATATATATATATATATATACATGGCATGAGAGATAGAAGGCGGCAGTCTCCTGATTTTTAGCATGCGGTTCGCTCCCGCCAAATGTAAGATGATGCTACAAGATTGGACTAAATCGACTCCTAGCTTGGAAATAGGGAGTGAAGTGGTAGACCGTGTTGGCCAGTTCACTTATTTGGGGAGTTACATCATTTAGTGCCATAGGGTTGATTGCTGACGAAATCTACCAACGGATACAGAAGGCTCGTTTGCCCTATGCCCGCCAACTCACGCCATCCCTGGCGTAGACGTGATATCCGGCTATCGACCAAATGACGTGTGTACCGCTCAGCAATCCGCTCTGTCCTCCTATATATTTGTGAGGCATGGCCATTGAAAGTGAAAGACATGAAAAGGCAAGCTACCTTTGATCATAGGTGCCTGCAGTCCATCCCCGTGTTAGTGGATATAATAGGGTGAGCAATATTGAGGTTAGGCCTCGCTCGAGTGCTTAATAAGGAGGGGAAAGCAGTCGACGAGGTACTGAAGTTACGCCGACTGAGATGGTTAGGACATGTGCTACCTTCCTCGACGGGCATTGTTAGCTGATATAGAATCGGGTTCGAAAACAGCCATTGATGGTCAAACGAAGACATGAAATCAGTCAATGAAATCCACAACAGTTAGTTTAAGCCACATAGGAAGGCGTAGACTTCCTGTTTGGGGTCCGCGGTATGGTAAAAACCAATGGCTGGTGACAATCAGTGATATGGCTCAAAGTCGTTCTCAATAGCGCTGGCTAAGATGAATTCACTCTGTGTGATTTATAATACCCAATAAAATTCTACTGTTTTTCACATTAATTTTCTTACTGCCTCATATTTCTGTTTATTATTTCTCTTTACTCTCTTCTCATGCTTTGTGTGCTACATCGAGTGTGGAAAATCGAACTACTGAACATCTGTGCAAAGTTCCACATTGAAACCTCCCAGTTATATATATATATACTTTCCTAAGTACTAAAGTTCACCATAATCCACCTACAATAATAAAGTGAAATAATCTTTCTTGTCTTATCCTACTGCTGACATTCCAATGGGCCTAACTTAATCTCTACATTTTATGCGGCAGAAAAGAAAAGTATTTTCGTTCTAATAACGGACTGCCACAATTTTAAAACTCACTGTGATGTAGTTTTGTTTAAATAACAGCGATCTTTTGTATAAGAGTAGGAGAAAAAAATATGGGAACTAGCTAAGATAGGCACAAAAGAAAGTTAAATAGATGAATGGTAACAGTAAAGTATGAAAATTCTGAACCACAACACTTAAATCTTCTGCACAATGTCACATCTATGTGCTACTTATTTTACATTCTAAAGAACAGATTATCGAATTTTCTTAGGAGGAAAACTTTTTGACCAACACCTATATCAGTACTCTTTTGTCATTTCATTTACGACGGAAATTTGACAGATGAACTGCCATATCGAAACACTTCCATATGTATTTATCAGTTAGTTGCTCTTGTGAAACTAAGTGTATAAGGTGTTCAACATAGCTTATATTTAGAAGAGTTCGGGGACGCTATTTTTTATCATTATGGAAATGACAGTGAAACCGAAGATTATCTTCGATGAACACCGTTTTAGTCACAACAACTCAGTACCGGATTCCCATTCGGTTACCGTTTCTTACAGGGTGAAAAGAAATTACCCAAAAACCGTACATACTAATATTCGTTGCATTGTTGAAGTCCTGTCTACCAGATCTGTATATACAAAAGAAACCTATGGAATGAATTCTTTTGCTTTAATTTTAATCCTAAGTTTCTTTTGGGACCGCTTACTCCAATTTTTAACTATCGCCCTAATGGACTGATAGCTGACAAAATCTCAGCACAGATACAAAGGCCTCGAGTGTCATTTGCCAAATTACGTCACCTCTGAAGTAGACATGATATCCGGATATTGACCAAAAGGATGTGAATAATTCGCTTCACTCATCTTAACGACTGTGAGACATGACTGTTTAAAGTGCAAGAGGCTAAGTGTTTTATAGCAGCAGTGTTTGCATTCTGTCTTTTGTGTTACGCCATATAATATAACAAGTAGTACTGAGTTCAGGTGCAGAGTTTTAAGTGAAGAAAGTACTTCATTAAATGAGGTTGTGAAAGTGCATTGACAGAAATAGATAGGTTACCTGTTGTGCATCCCAAGCCACTGCCTTCCTCGTTGAACAATATTAGCCAATATAAGATTTGTTTGAGAAAGAAGTGAGAGTAGTCAAAACAAAACATAACATCAATCCATTAAAATATTTGACTATTGTTCTGAGCTACGTATGGAAGTGGAGACTGAAGACAATTAAAGTCGCGGCTCAAGACCCTTCTCAGTGCTTCAGATACATTAATTCTTTGTAATCACCAAGATTCAGTAAATCCTCATTATTCTCCTGTATATTTTCACTCACTGTAGTTGCCTTGGATTTTTTTTCTCTACCTTTATATGCTGTATGGAGTGTGGTAACTTGAAAGGATGCATTTCTGTGCATAGTTCTACTTTGGAAACTCAGTCAGTACAGCCTTGTGAACAAAGTCATCACCAATAGAGTTTCACCTTAACAACAGGATCTTCTTATTTTACGTTCTATGGATACTTTCAGTGTCATCATTATAAGTGTAGAATTTGGGCACTACGGTAAAATGTAATTCCATATTAGATAAATTTATTTTAAATATCACACAGTGATGCAGTAATGACAGTTGTTTTTATCGGACCCTTAATCCTACAAACTGACTGAGTTGGTTGGTTTAAATGCCATCCCTGAGTATTTATTAGAGTGTCTCGGTTCCCCATAAGTGTTGGTATCTAACTCACCATCTTGTTTTCATTTTATTTTGCAGTCTGGCATGGCCAACTCACCTGGTTCGTTTTGCTAGGCTTTCATTCATTCCATCCGGAATCCGGCACATATAGGTTTGGTTAAATGTCTACATACTCGGACCACAAGCCTAACTAGTAAGCTGGAAGATATAAATAATGATATCAAACATATGAGGGAAATATTACTAGTGAATAACTACCCACCAGAATTTATTCAGAAATGTATGAGTATCTATAGAGAAAATAAGACTAGCAATGGAAATGACAAAAATAATAAAGAATTCAAAGCCTTTATAGTACTGCTGCGTAAAAAAAGAACATCAGTGGTCTTACATAGGATTCTTAGCAAGGTTGGTATTGGAGTGTAATTTAAACCAATTAACTCTCTCAGTGATAAAATTTGTCGACTCAAGGACCCAATAGATCACATTGAAAAAATGATCTAATTTTTAAGTACCGTCTAACGACTGTGAAGCTGATTACACAGATCAAACTAGTGGATCGGGGTCAATTTGATTCTCGGAACATAGGAATTTAGCTAGGTCAGGAATGGTTGACACTGCTAAATAACCCAGAAAAACGCTCGGTCATTGCAATACATTCACTTGCATGTTATCACACAATAGGGTGAGACAGAGTGAAAGTAATACAAAGTAATATAGTTCGGTGGAGAGAGAGAAGTTAATCACTGAATCTTTGTTTAACGACTCAATACCACACACGTGTAATCGAAATGATGCAACGCCTATACCGGAGATATGAAAAGTGGCAATAAAAAACAAGGGGAAGAGGGGGGAAGGAGAGAGAGAGAGGGAGAAAAATACATGTATAAGACAAATTATGAAGTCGTGTGACTAATTGATATGATTATGAGCAGTAGTTTATACTCAAAACTTCATCCAGGTATTAATACTGCATCACTGTGTGATATTTAGAATAGACTTATCTAAAGTGGAATGTTTTCATTGTGTTGTCTTTTCTCTGTAATGTAGACAGAATGCTGTATCACACACGTTGAAATGGTTTATTCACGATCTTGAGGAGAACACCTAAGTGGATTCGGTGAGTGCCAGCGATTTGAACTCATGAATCGAATGAAACATAAATATGAAAAATTACAGCATTGCTTACTATCAGAGATAATCATAATAATGGTTGGCAAAAAGTATTAACAGTACTTAAGTTTCACTTAAATGTTTCTCTGTTTCAAAATTAACCAGTACAGTTACAGTGTACTAAACTGCTTACTATGCAAAAATGAATCTCGGTGAATACCAGATATATGCAGCGTATACAGCGTAAATAGAACAAAATATGTATCCTGGAGTCGGCTATTAGCCATCAAAAGTAATTAACAGTAAAATCAGGGAATCACTTATCTACAGCTGACATAGGGTCAGGCTGGAAAAGAGCTAGCGGCGGTCAAACCAAAACATGGCCTCAACAGTCAGTGAAATCTACAACAGTTAGTCTAAGCCACGTAGGAAGGTGTAGACTTCCTGGTTGGGGTCATGGGGACGGTAAAAACCAATGGTTGGAAACAATTGGTGATATGGCTCAAAATCGTTCTCAATGGCTAGCGCAGATGCATCCACTCCCTGTGACTTATGATTTTCAATGAAACTCTGTTGTTCTTCGTTACTACTATTCCTTTGTCTCACGCCTTTGTTTACTGTCTGTATTATGCATTTCTTGTACTTTGTTCTCTTGCTTTGTGTGCTACATGGAATGTGGCGACTCGAAATGTCGCACATCGGTGCATAGTTCTATGTAGAAAACAGACAGACAGTGACTTTATGCGAACGGAAATCGCTACAGTAAATTTCAACAACGCTAAGTTCTGAAATCAAGTAAAGATGAGTGAAAAAGCAGTTGACAGAATGAGATTACTGTTTACGTCGCAAATTTTTGTGTTTTCTAATTATTTTTTCATTTTTATTTTTGATTACAGCTTGATTCCACACCGTACTTTTGGTACAAGTATGGAATTTTCCGCATGGATATTGGTGGCCCAAATTTCGCAGGCCGACTATAGATATCAGGTGCGAGACGGCAGGGGATCGAACCTCGAACCATGTGCATGGTCGGCGAGAGTCCTAACCACTGTGCCACCGACGCATAGTTAGATGTGTCTTATCTCTTAAATTCATTTTCAATTACAAACTTAATGTGAAGTTCGGATATTTTTCGAATTTATTTACCAATATGAAGTAGAAAAGATTATTGAAGAGAATAACATGAATGGTACTCAGAGCAAATTCTTTGTAGAGTCAGCTGAATTGAAGACACTTGTTGTAAACACTTGGTAGTTAAATTCTGGAAATACTATTCTATTAAAATTGACCCAGATGCTTATTAATACAGTGTATACAGTTGATTAAAATCAATGAGAAATTGTACTGTTCATCGTCATTCATTATTCTGTCTACATTTTATAAACAGGCAGTTAGTCCAGCTAAGCTGTTAAGTGATCTACAGAAAGCCAATTTACAAATAGTTCCGGCTAAAGTAGAAGAATATTCAACGCCGGTTAATGAACGAGACACTGAGAAACCACACCTATCCAATACTGATTTTTATATCAGTCAACAGAATGGAGAGAAAGTTGTTCACACGAATAAGGAGAATATATACTTTCAACCAACTGATTGGCAAGATTCTGCTATGCACAATGGCGCAGTTCTAATGTTTGCAATGAAATCTCATTCAGGATTACCTGTTAGTGAAATTTACTCTTCAACTGCTGATACCTCAAGCATGCCATCATTATCGGGTGTGAACGTGAACCCCAAAGAAACTCAACCTACTGGTAATGATAATAAGTTTATGAATAGTAATACATCAAGATATTGGTACAAAAACCCTTTGTTTAATCATTGGAATAGTGGATTATATAAATACGTCTTGCTTGAATTATGGTCTAATCACAATCCAGTTGTTCAGTTAAAATTCAGGACACAAAACTCAGATAAATATACGTGGTTTAATAAGGCGTTTTTAGAAACTTCTTATCCTTGGAATGAAAATGAATTGAAGGAGAAAGCGAAATTTATACGTACCAGGTAATTACTCTTGCTTATAGTGACTTTTTATATGATAATAATTTAATTATAGTTCGTTTCTCCTTAAAATTTCTTAATATTAGTTAAGTGAACCGAAGTGTCAACCTATTCTTCATACAAATACCTTGAACAATATTGTTATGTCAGTTTATTAGCGACTAACTGACAATCGTTACTTGCATCTACGCGCAGTTAGACCAGTAAAGCTTGATCCTTGAAGTCATTGGAATTAACGGCAGGGACTTCCGATCCTTAACAATCAGTTTTAGTCGAACAAGTGTTGGTTTGTAGGGATTTGATTGGTTAAAGGATTTCATCATGAGCTGACATTAGTTAGTCGAACAAGACGAGTAATAGAATGAACCAGGATGTTTTGTAGATTCAGCGACAAAACCAAAGGAATTTTTAAAAGTCTAGCTAACTAATAATACACTAGGTTGTAGACATATCGGTATTGTTTAGAAATGCATATGCTTTACCTCTATGAAACTAATATCACCTCACGGATTCACAATCGTGTATCTAAAACTTGAGGTCACAGACGTCATAACTGAGCTATTGAAGCTGCAAGTGACTCCATGAAGGACTGTAATGGAAACGCTGATTGGTTATAAAGATGTCCTTCTGTTCATTCTTAGAGCCTGTTTCAGAATCTTCGTACTTAGATGTATTGTGGTCGCACAATGTCTGTGATATATTGCCCATTGAATGTGGGACGTTCAGTCAGTCTTCCTGAATAACATGAAGTAGGGCTTTCCGCTATACTACAGTGTCTATTGTGAAATTTGGAGCTGAGTAGACATATCATAAGAGTGGGAACTAGCTTCAAGTATACCGTTAGCCAGTAATCACGATTATACGATATGAAATTAGGTATTCCCAAGTGACCAATGACCACGTCAGAAATGAGGTCCAGTTGTGAAGTTATGATAAGATCTGCTACCTACACGATAAAACAATTTGTATCACTGATGGTATTAGACTTCAGTAGCACTTTATCGATATCGGCAAGTGATAGTAATAGATCACTGAATTTTGACCCAAGAGCCGTGTAGCAAGACCTGATGATTCCGAGATTAAATGTGCATGGAGTTGTGAGCGTACATTATAAGAAAATCTCACATTCAAAATATACATCTGACCAGTGCCCTGTCACTTTCAATCATTCCCCTGCTGATATTGGTTCTTCGAATATAGCAATTTTGAAAAATACATTACCTCAGTCGTATTGAGCTTACAGCCCCCCCCCCTAGCATAATGAAATATTCACATTACTTCTTTTGATAAAAATATTATTTTTGTGACAACTATTTTTATACGATTACGTTTTAGGAATGAGCCGTTCTCTGTTATCTTAGATCCAAACTATATCAATAGTTTATCATCTCAATCATTTGATGAAGAAACACTTCAAAAAGTGAAAAGTGAACGTATAAACTGTGAATTCTTACGCGGTTACATATTAATTATAGACAGTTCAGATTCGGCGATTTCTTTATGCGAATGGAATATAGCAACAAATAAATTATACTCTACATACTATCAAAATAATAATCTTTATCCAAAATTTTTATATACATTACCAATTAATCTACCCAAACAAGACAACTTGACATACACATTACCACCGAAATTCTCCAACTATTTGTCTACATTATATGAAGCCGATGAATTACGTATCTATGTTATACCGTATAGTTTAATGTCTACTATTGAAATTGGTAACAAACAATTGCCTCAGATTAATAAATTATTACTAACACTTGATATTAACACTAATATATCTTTAAGTCAATTATGGCACCAAGAAATAGCCAGCCCGCCAAGTTCATTCCCTTTAAAAAACGGTAATTTATGCAACTGTTGGTATCGTAATGAATTATTAAATAACTGGTATACACAAAGGCATTATCATAGACAAAATTTAAATCATTTTCTGACATCTGACTTATTCTATGATTTTAAATATATTCAGATTGATTTATTAAATATTACTGGTCATGTTAAATGTCGTTTAGCATTTGATACACGTGGTGCACAACCAGATTCATGGTTTTCACCAACACGTTTAAAATATGCATGGCCATTATCAATCTCATCACTAACTGAGTATAACTTTATACAATTTGGTCATCATATAACAAGAAAAGGAGAAAAACGCAGTCTATCACAAAATTGGCAACAAATTGATTTTTGGATTGGTAAACAAGTGTTACAACCACAATTATTAAGTGGTGATAATAATAATTATGCAATTAAAACAACATGTTTAAGCATATTTTTTGTTTATAGTATAAAAAATGAAGCCGACACTTTTACATTACCTGAATGTATGAAAGATCAAGTCGGTATATTCAAAAATTCAAAACTAACGACATTAACTTTCAGCAAAGAATTAAAACAGCTTAATAGTATGCATCAAATGCGACAGATTATAATTTGGACGAATTAATGTAGAATAAAATGAATTATATACATCACAATAAACAATAACTCAAAAATATACTGTGATATACAAACAAGAGTGAATTAAAGATGTGTAATTTATTCACCGTTTGCATTCAATTTTCTTATTAGACGATCAATAATTTATTACCATCAAGTTACTGTAGAAATTTATTGATATGCGAACTGGTATCAACCAGAAAGAAGTTCGATAAAGAAGAGAAATAAATATCATTTAAACTTATGACGAAGATAAATCACTCTCAGAAATTCTTAGAAATCAAACGCATAAAAAGTGTTTAACTCTATACATTGTTGAGATGAATTCATACTTTGGAATGGCAACAGCACCTGAAAGTCATGTTGAAATTGCTTGATAGTAGCAGTAATCACTTCACACAGATGAATGCCTTGAGTTTTTCGTAAATATATCATCTATCTGTAGTAATTTATCTTGCCTCAACAACCAGTAATCACCAAGATGCTATAATAAATCTTCACAACAGTTTATATCTTACGTGGTGCCATTAATTGTAGGATAACGACAGACATTTCTAAGAAAGTCAGTAAAACAGCTGAGTGATTTAGTTATAGGAAAACTATATCTACCAGTTGGAAAAAATAAGATGACCTTCAGTTGGACTTTGGAGGTGGCTTACTGACACCAAAATAACCCTTAGCTTCTTACTAATTCTACTAAAACTTTCACGTATAAAAAATAAATGTCTACCATGAGAAAATGGAAAATCGAGTTGTTTAATGGCAAATATCAGAATACCATTGGAAACTTGGAAGGCAGTGAAATCAGAAAATCAACACTTCGAACCACAGATTTCTATCACCAAACTCCTAATTTATTTTAATGGTCTACTGTTGTGTTTTTGTTTGCTAATACTTAGTAATTTTAACTAAAAATATTCTCTAGGTTGAGAAAGTATGCGGAGTTCACGAGTGTGTCAGTATTAGTCTGAAATTTCCAATTAGAATAACTATACACACCAGCAGATTACTGTTCAGCAGTCCGCTCCATCCTCCTTTAAGCCTGTGAGACCTGGCCATTGAGAGTGGAAGACATGAAAAGATTAGCTGTCTTTGATCATAGGTGCCTGCGTTCTATCTCCCGTGCGAAGTGGTGTAATAAGGTGAGCAATATTGAGGTTAGGCCTCGGTCGAATGCTAGGTAAGGAGGGGAAATCAGTCGACGAGGCTGTGAAGTTACACCGCCTGAGATGGTTAGGACATGTGTTACGTGTGCCTAGTCATCGCCTTCCTCGACATTGGGCAATGTTAGCTGATATAGGCTCAACCTGGAAAAGAGCTAGCGGCGGTCAAACCAAAACATGGCCTCACCAGTCAGTGAAATCTACAACAGATAGTCTAAGCCACGTAGGAAGGTGTAGACTTCCTGGTTGGGGTCATGGGGACGGTAAAAACCAATGGTTGGAAACAATTGGTGATATGGCTCAAAATCGTTCTCAATGGCTAGCGCAGATGCATCCACTTCCTTTGACTTATGATTTTCAATGAAACTGTTTTGTTCTTCGTTACTACTATTCCTTTGTCTCACGCCTTTGTTTACTGTCTCTATTATGCTTTTCTGGTACTTCGTTCTCTTGCTTTGTGTGCTACATGGAATGTGGCGACTCGAAATGCCGCACATCGGTGCATAGTTCTATGTCGAAAACAGACAGACAGACAGACAGATTTCAATAACTCGTTAGCTTACCTGAGAAAAAAGCAACTTGTAACATCCAGTGAAATCAGCTTATTCTGTATCAGCCACACATGGAGTTAACCTTTGTCCTTCTAGAACCATACAGCGATGCAACACACTTCTGAGATAATTCAACATTAAAAATGACAAAGTCAAACATACATTTATGATCAATTGATAGAACAGCAGCGAAAAGAGTGAATTCAGTGTCAGTGTCTTTCAAAATCAGTTCGTTTTTAGCTTTATTAATATAAATTCTGACTTACTCTATACACTAGTGAAAACTGACAAAGTCTGCTTCAGAAAAAAAAGCAGTGCACTAGCTTCACCTCCTTATCTGCTGACGCTTCTGTGAAGTTTTCAAGTAACTCCGTGTAATCAGATGTGTGAGTGCAAACAGTCTTTATCAGGTGATGAAATCACATTATCTTCTTTGTTTCACTGATCCAATAAGTATCAACATCCCAAAAAGTATTGACTTTTCCTCAAAACTTAACTGAAAGTGAATTTTACAAAGACAGATTATTGAACAAAGAATTTCTTCTCAGTAACTTCCTCTTCAGCCTCTGCAATTATATATCCATTTTAACAACAACTTCGTGTATATTGTGGCAGTAAATAATTCTCCAGAATTATCAGCGCACAGCATTCATCACTCATTAATGGATGCTGACTTTTCGCTGTTTAAGTCGACTCGTTAAGCCGAAGGCTCGCAGTCAAACATCTATGCCATTTAACACGCCGTCGTGTTACGTCCCCTAGTCCATGCTCGATTTCTAGCTAGTTAAGCATTCAACATCGCACTACGGTTTCGATCCCAAAACATATTTTGTATTTTTGACGATCAATTTGCCGTCGGTCTAGGCAGAAAAAATACCTTAGGAATTGTGGGTTTAATAACTTTAGTTGTATACACCATACTTTGAGTAATCGTCAACATCCCCTTCAGTCTCTGAAAATATCAACTACAAAACATTAAATCAGACAGAAAAACTCAGACACTGTTTTGGGATTATCAATGCTCCAGTTAGAATACTCTTGGAATTCAATTCAAGGTAAATGAGTGCATGATACTATGCTCGGTGTAAAATTGTACTAACAAAATAAATTATTTAGCAGAATAATGTTTTGGTCAGTCACCTGTTTTAATTACACTATGAGAGTCTTCAGTTAGCTAAAACTTCGGTACGCTGTCGTGATGAAGGTCGTCGTTGGATTACTGAAATATAACACAAAACTCGCTGCAACATAATAAACAGTTAAAATACCCACATTTTGAGTACAATTTATTCCCATAAATATACCACTGTTTTCATACGACTTTCGTTGTACGGTGTCTTCTCTTTGCTGTTTATTGAGGCCATTTTCCGGAAACCACTAAATTACGTTGCGTCATTTCTGTTGCATTTGTCTGAACTTCATTCAGTAAATATAAAATCTATTATTTACACCATGTTCATCAAACTCCATTTCTGCCAGCCACCTAGCTAATTTGTGATACGGCGAATTAATCATAAATAATATTGGTCTCATAGAGACGTCAGGCTTATGCATCTTTGGTACACCGTACAGGTAAGGCCAACAGAAATGTTAGAACCAATCCGTGGTAAATTAGCAGTCTACAGGCTGAAAGACACCTTCCAATTCGCTAAACAATTAGAGAATCTAAGCATCTCAAATAAATTTATGGTGTGCTTCGACGTGTCTTCACTGTTTACAAAGATCCTATTGGAAGAAATAATACAAATTATATGTCAACATGCCGAACTTCTTCGTCTGCCCAAGAACGATCCCAAACAACTCCTACTTATGTCCATCAAAGACGTACAGTTCCAGTTCAACAACACTCTGTACCGCCAAATTGACGGAGTCGCCATGGGAAGCCCCCTGGGTCCGATTCTGGCAGATATTTTCACGGATAGTCTAGAACAAACAAGGTTAAAATCCCCAATCAGCCAGACAAACTTCTATACCAGGTATGTCGATGACACTTTCGTTATTTGTAATTCTTTCAATGATGCATCTCAAGTAATAAAAGTCTTGAACAGCGCCCACACTAATATTAAGTTTACAATAGAGTATGAAAAAGAAGAGAAGTTCCATTTACTTGACCTGGGTATTCAACGAGATATAGACGGCAAAATCATAAGACATACACACAGAAAAGAGACCTGGAGGGCGGTTTATCTTAACTTCAAAAGCTTCTGCCCTATAAGTTACAAAAAGGGATTGGTGGGAACATTATTTGATCGTGTAAGGAAGCTGTGTTCAAAAGAAAAGATTGAGGAAGAGCTACCCATTGTGGAGAAATGCCTACGCGACAACGGTTACCCACAAAAGTTCATCGACAAGTATGGGAGACTCATGTTGAAAAATTGGAAAGTAGCACAGTAGAGAAAAAGCCTATCTTTCTGCAGCTTGCATCCAAAGGTGATGATACTGCTAGTAGAATAAGATGCAGAGTGAACGCTGCCCTGAAAAGAACACATCCAGCCGCCAAGCTTGCATGTGTTTATCAAACAACTAGTTGTTTGAGACAATCAATTTACATGTACGTGCCAAAGCACATACATTGGAAGAACAGAGAGAAGGCTTAGTGTACGCATCCATGGACACATACCAAAGAACTTGAGACTGAAAGGTCCGCAAGCATTAAACAGTGCGATTACCCGTCATCTATTGGACACTGGTCACATTGTAGACAACCTGAAGTCGTTTAAAATAATCAACAAGCAAAACAAACCTAGCTTGCTACGCCTTGCTGAAGCAATTGTTATCAAACGACTTAAACCAAATCTATGTATGCGGAAAGAGACAGTGGTGAATCTTGCACTGCCCTGGTGATAACAAAATATACAACTTTTACGAGTCACCATTTTTCTTGTTTAGAAAACTCTCTCATCTAAACATGACTCACCCTACCTTGTTCTTTTCTTTTTCTTCTACTGGCTATTAGATAAGACATTTTCTTTAGTTACGTAATCTACTTTTTGTTATGCTCTTTCTAGCTAAACCTTGTTTCTATGCACACATATATACGCAACTCTGTTTTTTGTTTCCAAGCCTAATAATTCTATAAATAGTCAGAGTTTGTAACTCTTAATTAGTTAAATCATTCCGGACTAATGTTACTTTTACTTCCTACCAATTACTCCTTATGATTATGGAAAAGTACGTTCAAATCTCTAATGTAATTCATATTTTTTTATCGTTCAGGTTGTAACCAGTAGAGAAGAATCCTCGAAATAATAAATGATGGGCTCATATTATCCTGGTAAAACTATTGTTCTTGCTTTGTTCAATTCTTTTTTATAATGGGAAGAATTGCATGAAATGGTAGTTTCTTTAGATTATTTAACCTAGTATGTTTTGCTGTTCTTAAGTGCTCATAATGCAAATGACTTGAATCTACTGGTTTGACTTATTTTGCATGACCTCATAGTTATCATACACTATTTGGTAAAGTATACTCTTTTGTCTGATTGGGTCACTTGGGTGCTTAGCTTACATAAACTGTCTCAAGCGGTGTCTTAAGCTCAGTCTTCTTCAAAATCCTAGTCGAGGTTTCAGATATCCCTTAGGTATATGGTAGTATTAAAGAGGCTTTAAATTCCTTATTATTTCAACTATTCTCACTATTTCACTTTCTTCATGAGTCTTAGTAAATTAATACATTCTGGTGGGATTTAATATTGGTGTCCCGTTAGAAATTGCTTAAATTCTAGGCTAATTTTTACGGAGTGAAGAGTTGACTGGAGGGTATTCAAATTCAAGTAGTGAAAACATGATTAGCTAGGGTATGACTACTAGTGTTCCAACTAATGCACCTTTGGAAGCCGTCAGGAGGGAGCTGAACACTGATTCTAAACTTATTAGGGTATCAGCTGAATAAATATTGGGTGTGGAATTATGGGTAATTTCTAGCCTGAATTTCAAGGAGAAATATACAAACACGCAAATAGGATAGAAATGAGATCGTCAATAATCCCCAGACTGATGACTATTTATAGGTGTTAGGGTACATATGGCTCCTACTGCGTTCATTCCCACTCCTCAGTTATGGTAGTGAAGTGTAAACGACACAATCACCGTATTCAAATGTAAATACATATAAAATCAGTAATATGTGGAATACATTTCACTTTGCAAGTCGAATTCACTGTACTATTTTGCGAAATAAAGTCCAATCAAAATAGTTTAGGTGCAAGCATCTAAAAGAAACCATCACATTCTGATTAATACTTAGGCTTTAAATCATCGCATCCAAATTAAGCAAAAATGGGTTTGGTCAAATGTTTGTACAGTCAACCTAGGCGTCTGACCAGTGGAGCCGAAAAATTTAATTAAGGAAAACGCTACTACTAGAATTCATTCTAAATTTTATTAAGGCCCAAAAGAAAAGTAGGAGTACAAATATAAAGTGATCGTAATACGAATAATAAGGAATTTAAAGCCTTTATAGTATTAACAGACGGAGAAGGAAAATCTGAAATCTTGAGTAGGAATCAATATGATAATAAATAATAAAAACAAAAGGACAGTGATATATATCCACATAATGTGTGTTTGTTTGACAGTCTGTTATATTTTGCTATGTATATATGGATCGATATTTCATTATAATTAACAATCATGTTAAGACTGTCTATTGGTTTGTTCATTTTGAACATTCGCTCATACACTTGTGTTCACAGACTTGTTCGGACATTCATACTATTTTCACTCACACTCTTGTGTGACATTGATTCTCCTTGTGTTTGGAAAATAGAAGTTTCATCGCAAACCTAGTGGTCTTCTGATTTCCGTCTTTCTTGCGTCAGGACTATTAAATTCCCGACCAGTACATAACAGACAGAGATGAAAAACTAAATTCAGTAGAGTAAACCCAGCTATACAGTTCACAAGTGAAAGAATCGGAGAATGAAATAAGCTTTTTGGCCGTTCGTCTTTCGAAAAAAAATAAGCGGACCTATAAACGAGAACTTGATGGGTGAACCAGGAGGTATACACACCCCGTTAGTTTCGTTCGTTTATAATGAAAATGAGATCTGATAAGAACTCTGATTTATAGTATGTTTTATTTTTAGATGAAATTGTTAGAGTAGGAATGATGAGCTTATACAACGTGTTATTCGAAAACGGTGACCCAGATAAAGTACATTTTCCAAATCCTCCGAAAAAGCCATCATACATTCCGCCAAAGTTTACAGGTGGAGTACATAATATAAGTTGAACTGCTGCACATCTGTATTCAGAATTTCAGTCCAGTTTTCCAGATAATGGTTAAAATGACACACAGATTTACCCGAGGATCTTTTAGTGCAAGAGAATTATGAATGGTGGTGGTATCTTGATTAGGGGGGGGGGCGAATAACATAAGCAAGCCACTTTTTATCAATTCTGCTGCTCCTCTGGGATCAGTTACGTTGGTCGTTTTCCAGAAGCTTAGTCGTACGTACCAGTGAATATCTTCCAGTGTGGTCGAATAAAGCTTATAAATAGCTGTCACCAAGCCTACTGAATCCATAGCAAACGAAAGGCTAACAAGGACAATCCACTTTTCATTATTTATCGCGTCCCTGCCAGCTTACCAAAAGCGGTTCAAATTCTAGTCAGAATTAAGCATCCAGGAGAAACTCGTTGAACCTCTTACACCACATATACTGGTTTTATGATCAAGAGATTCTCATGCGCCGCGCACATGAAATCTTCCAACTGTGATGTTCGATAACTTATTTACATCTCTTCCAAGCCCTTATTATCTTAAATTATTTCATCATATTGATTTTTGACTGTACATCTATAATGCACTACAAATTTTTTATCTTTATTACCTATATTTATCCAATCTAACTGAACGTGATTATCAAAATATAAACTTACTATATTATGGGCACCAAGAGATGCGACAGTCAAAAACAATAAGATGACAACATATATAGAAAATGGGGATTATATTAGGAAAGCCATCCAGAAAGCAATTAAGCATGCCTGCCAAGATCAGTCAACATTCATCACTTCATGTTACTTTCAGAATGGGAAGACAGAAAGAAATTCAGCAAGTTCGCCACTGATTATAACTCTTGTTCACATCAAATAACATTTCGCGCCACCAATCTATCGGATGCCAACCAGGGAGTCGTGATGTACTAGCTGATACCGACCGAACACGAACGTCCTTTATATCACAGAGCCATGTCATAAGCCGACTACCTCTCTGGAATGACATTCATAACTCATACCCAAGCCATTGAGACTGGTCCCCAAGATGACTACACTCAATGACTGGTGACCTCCACCAGATCAAAACACACGCTGCTGGACCTCAGGGTTACTTACATTGCGTTGCCATCAGACGCAAGCTATTCTACGGAGACAACGACGATCGAATACCCAGAATCGCCACACATCCTTAGCACGGAGATGCCAAATTTCACAAAGAGCAAGACTGTGTATACTGAGGCATTGTAAACCAGACCTTTACAGACAGGATGATGACGCTACGACGCCTTAGGTGGCCCAAATTGGAGTATTTCACCCTAAATCTCGCTAAAAGATTACAGATTTCGTCCGTAACGCCCCCACCATCACTCACACACTTGCCCAGGTACACAGACTTGTCGACAATTTCAAGGGGTTTATCTGGAAGGGTGAGTGCAAGCATAGAATCTGTCAAAATGGACTGGCGCACATTCAGAAGCTGCAAGCAACTTGTAGAAGCTTAGTAGTTTTTAGCATAACATTCTTTTAAGCCACAAGCGACTTTATTCACCATTTTCATAGGATCTTGCATATGTAGCCAATGTTCCTCTGTCCTATTCGGAGGGCTGCTTGCTAGCCTTGAGTTTCACTCAGTCTAGTACTGTGCAGTGGTAGCATGTGCTACCAATTCACTTATATCAACCTGTAGGAGACACCGCCTATAAACATCACCAAATCACGAGATAAACCTAACATAGAGTAAAGCATAACAGGAGTCCAGATATGTGCTTTAAAGGGAGTGGCAGTCCCGTACTCATCCACGCCATTGGAAACTGAGAGCAATGTGGACAATCTGAGTCTAGGCTTGATTGAAAGAGGGAGGATGATAGGTGGCACTACGGCAATGACTGTGTCTAAAGTTGGTACTGGCTACAAATCGGTTATGACTTTCTCAAAGCTGCGGAAGGCAGTAATCTAACTGAATACAATTCTTTCTCAAACTTTAGTTGCAACTACTTATTCTTGTTAACCAGAATGTCACTTATAAAAGTCACAGTCACTTATTAAAAGTAGGAAAAGATAAGTTTCATAGTAATTTCTTATTTATTTGTATACTTACACAATCAAATATAACATAAATGTAATATTGTAAAGCTTAAAAAATGCAGGAAATAGTGGTTACTAAACATTAAGACTGTGAATGCAAAACATTAGCCAAATGAAGCCACGTGAGTGACAATGGTATTGGATCTGAGAAACTTGGTGGTGCCGACAAATTCCACAAGATAACCTGATCTAGTTTTGTTCCAAACTTAATTGGTTCCAGTTCATCTGATGCCACTCCACTGTGATGAACGGTCACCGGAGAATAACCGTCTGGGAAATCTAACTGAACACCTCGCAGTGGTCTACCCCGAAAATTCGAAGTCAATATTGAATTTTTGTTCATAGTATTGCACTCAGAACTATGGTACCTTGAGAAAATAATGCAATTTACCTCAAAGAGCCCATGGTAATAAGGTCCGTATCTACTTTGACTCCTTTGGCTTCAATTTTGCAAGGCATCCAATGTGCAATCATAGTTGTGAATAACTTGCGAAAATCTAAATAATTTGGGAAATAGAGATTTACGACCATAACATGAGACTATTTGTTAGAAAAATCAATAAGGTTGAGCTTTACCGTTACGCATCATGAGCAGCGGGTTGTCACCATAGGATTTGAGAGTGGATTCCTGTAGGTTTAGAATACCCTTTATTCAATAAGGTTAAAACGTGTGCTGCCCAACTTTCCACTTCGTAAATATATCCTGAAAATGATTTTGCATACCTTAAAGCTCGTTAAGACATATGACTACAGAAGTATATATATATATATATATATATATATATATATATATATTTAAGAGGACCACTTAAGAGGACTATTTATATATACAGACACTTTTCCCAAACATTAGTTCACTACATTACGGTATGAGGCTTCGTTCAAAACACCTTTACATCACCACTTTAAAATTATTCGACTCCTAAATAAAAACTAGCTTAAAATCATCCATAGTTACATATTAGGAATTATGCACTGTATTAAGAGATACTGTTGGGAAAAAGCCGTGGACGCCGACTTATTTCGTATGTACTTCTTAGCCTCAAAACCGGCTAAAATAACATTGCACAAATAAGATGGATTAACAAATGAATGTAAAGGAATCGGAGGGACAAAAAGGAACAGAGGTGGAGAGCACAGATAAATAATTAGCAGGACTGGTGGACTATAGAAATAATACCAATGACAATTAAATGGAACTAGATTCAGGATTTTGCATCACGTTTACGACACAATAAACAAAGCGGGTACCAACAGAATCATGCTTCAAAAGACAAACAAATTAAGAATAAGCAAATGAGGATAACTAAAGATATTTACAACGTCAATGACTAGGAACACCAGAAATTCGAGTGAATGGAACAAAACTCTCAGTGACTTTGTAAAAAGGTGGGTGAGGATATACGTTATAACGTGTTATATTTTCCGCGACTCAGGTTTTTTCGTCTTTCATTGGCTAGAACGGTGAAGGTCAATTGGATATTTGATTTGTCCTTGGTAGGTCGTATCGTTTGAGTTTTGTGTGGTTGTCTTATGCGCCGTTTGCAAGCAAATTTGACAAAGATAGATGTAATATTTGACTATTTTAACATTGTTTCACTGTTTTTTTTACAGATACACTTCTCTTTTCGCTATAAACTCCCTGGAAACTGGTCAGGAATTATGGTTCCTATAATAATAATTATAATGTATATTCTCATATAAACATATAAATTTACATGAAAATGCATGCCATTTTTACAGGCACGATCAAGTATGATATAATATCAAATCGTAGATTGTCTACAAGTTAATAATGTTTCAACAGTTAAATATTTGATATATATAAATACACATTGTCTGAACTAGGCTGTATAGTTATTGAATTGTACAACTGTCCTCCAGGTTGAGCGGGAAAATCGACTTCGTTTCGTTTTCATCCCGTGGTTGTAGGCATACGATAACCAACCAATATTGAGGTAAGTACAACGTTTACAACGGATTGAAAGCTGTTTTTAGAAAAGTAAAAGTGCTGAGGTGAATCAATAAAGTGTAATGAAATGGGTAAGTGCAAGTATCACTAATAAATGCATTAATAGAGGAAACTCCCTAGGCTGACAACGTTCATTTGCAATGTATAATGCTTCCTGTACAGTTTGCACTATCATGATGTCCACTTTTGGTTTTAATACATTTTTTCCTTATGTCGGTTTTTTTATTTTATGCTTTTTTGTGCATTTGGTGCACAACCGTACCCTACAGAGAATAGGAATAAAAAAGTCGAATCAAATTCATAAAAAGCTTTAAAATGTCAGGTTTAATGGGATATAATGAGGATTAAATAAAGACGTTATTGGAAAATGAATGAGATAAGACATTGTGAAGTGGTGTTTAAAGATCCGACAATGGACAGCAAGTTAGTTTATAAGATCAGTGACTACCATCCCGTGGGTGCCAATGCATTTCTTGAGTTGTGGTTATAGGTACAGTATTTCCTACTTCGTGATTTCTCACTCACATAGTCAGGTATCCTGTGTTTCTTGCGACTTAGCTGTCACAAGCTGTTGCAATAATGTGCTTCGTTAACGAGCCCTTTTTCTAGAATTTCATCGCAGGTAATCAGTGCGAGCGCAAGCAGCACATATGTAAGAAGTTACAAAAGCATTAGAAGACTTTCAAAAGGCGTGAACTTCATATATTGCTAACAGTGACGAACTTTTCCGCATACCAGTATGTGGATACGTTCACGTGCGTATAGGAAATCCACGAGTGAGACATTGTATTTTAGTGGGACAGCTTTGTGAGACTTTCATCTAGCTTGTATGTTCCGCTCTAGTATTTTTGTCCCTCAGACCACTAACAAAGTATTATCAAATGTATTCTTGTAGTATGATTCGATGGCACAATTACTGGCAGTTAATAATATTGTGTATGCGTAATGTTCATGACTTTTGAAAAGCTCAATGGTTGAATATTCCAACTTATTTAAAGGGGCTTGATAGCTACTTCACTAATCTGTTAATATGCAGTGACATCATCAAATAGACTGTTCGCTTGACAATGAGCTAAGAAAAATTTTTTATTTATTTCTAATATGCCGTTGAATCATAGGATGTTATCTAATATTCATCATTTCTATGATCAACAACTGCGGTATTTGCATGTCTACTTTATAGATGTTAAATAACCTACGCCTGTATGCATCTATTTAACTCCAGTATTCCCTATTCATTTGGTGTGTGTACACTAAACAAGTCTTTCATAAATTCTCCCATAAATGCCAAACTTTCTAGTGTTACAAGTGTTAATAAGACCTGTTTCCTTAGTTTCAAATCAAATGACGTACATACGAACTAAGGAAAAGTTACTCTTACTTAATCTTCAGCCTTCACTTAGAGCCTTTAACGATCCCAAACAGTTCTCCTATAAACACAGTAGACGTACTTTAGATGCAGATGCAGTCTTGCTTCACAACATTTTCTCCAGTATAGACAATGGGGCTAAATTCGCTGCACCTTCTTAGATTATACATCTGCTTTCGACTCAGTACGTAGAGATATTCTGTTAGATAAGCTTGCTGAAACTCAAAGTGTGTGTCGGATTGTTAGACGGCTTCATTCTTATTTATCAGGGAGAACGCAGTACACTGTAGGTCAGGGGTGTGAAGTACGTAACAATGTGATTGTACACTTTTTGGTTATTTGTATAAATTCGAGATATTGTACATAATTTTTGTTTAAAACGCTTCTTGTTGAAATATACATAACTTCCGTGGACAATTGAAAAATACACTCTGCTATCGGGGGATTCGTCTTCTCCCTGGTTATTTCTGCTTACTTGCTCAACTCACACCGTGTTGTATACTTCGGATTTATTGTAGGAGCCTACTACTCTCAACCGAAGACATTTCTACAACCGGAACACAGTAGCTACAGCAGACGCAGTCCAAACAATTAACGTGCCCGTGGATTATATAAATAATTTGTAGCAGAGGACTCAGGCTTTATATCCAAGTAATCCTTTTTGTTGCTATAACTCGTCACTGTATTTTTGGTAATATATTGTGATTTAACACTCCATTGACTTGGATTATTATTTTTTTATTTGGAATGTTAGTGAACTCTAATATTAGTCCCCTACAAATTAATTGGTGAGCCTGATAAAAACACGGATTATTTTGGCATATTCATATTCTTATTTCTGCTATTTTGCATATTCATTGTGATTTTGTGTGTGGTTTATATTTGTATCCTAATTTGCACCAATAACCTCATATATATAATGTCATCACCTCAGTCCGGTACATCAAACGAGCAGACAACTAATAGCGAGACAAATGCCACAATAAATGCCATCACTGATTTTCGTTTACCTCAATACGGTTTCGCAGAACCAAGGATTTGGTTTGCGGTAATTGAACCGTTGCTAGAAGCACGGAGCATTAAGTCCCAAATAGCCAAATATGGTATGGTGCTGGCAGAACTCCCTCCGTCAGTATTGACAGAAATCAGCGATTTCATCGAAGATCCTCCGACGGAACATCAATTTGATAAACTTAAAGCCCTCCTCATACAACGTACCAGTTTGTCGGATGAGAAAAGAATCCAACAATTGCTCACAGGCTGTGAACTAGGCCCACGTAAACCATCCCAGCTGCTCAGGCACATGCGCCAGTTAATCGGACATCATAAAGTAGACGAGGTAGTGCTGAAACAGATGTGGTTGCAACGTTTACCTAGAAATGTCCAGCAAATTTTAATCATCTCAGGAAAGTCGTATGACTTAGACCAACTAAGTGACATGGCAGATAGTATTATGGATGTTTTATCTGATAACACCATAAGTCACATAGCATCTGATAGTGCCACACCGTGTCATTCCACACCCACGGCAGACACACCGATACTCGCCGCCATTGCAGACTTAGCGGCAAGGATTGACAAGTTGGAAACTAATAGGTCGGATCGACGAGTCCGGAGGCGGAGCTCACAGGGAAGGTCACCATCACGACGACGATCCTTCTCACGACAGCGTTCTCACACGTCTTCTCGGGATAGTAATATATGCTGGTATCACTGGAAGTTTGGACGTCATGCCCTGAAATGTGTAAAACCGTGCAGCTTTAGCGAAGCCAACCAGGCTCAGGGAAACGCCTCAGCCAGACAGTGATGGCGACAGCTGTTACTGGCAAGCAAACAAGTCGCCTCTTCTATGTGAAGGACAAAACTTCAGACACTTTATTCCTGGTAGACACGGGAGCAGAAGTTAGCGTAATCCCTCCTTCACTATCCAGGCGATCTACACGGACACCCGGAAAACTGTCTCTCCGGGCAGCTAACCACACAAGCATACAGACGTATGGAGAGCAATCCCTCATACTGGATCTAGGTTTACGTCGGCGTTTCACATGGATTTTCATAGTAGCCGACGTCAGTCACGCCATCCTCGGAGCAGATTTCTTGAGTAATTTCAACCTGTTAGTTGACGTCAACAATAAAAAACTGATTGATAACAACACCCATCTAAAGATCCATGGAATTATCTCCAGCTATTCTGTCTATAATATCAGTATTGAAAGACCAGCAGATTGCCCTTTTTCCTCCCTACTTCATCGTTTCCCTAAAATTCTTAAGCCGTCGTACAACATCGAGGACGTCCCTCACACAGTTACTCACAAGATAGTTACTACGGGTCAACCAGTTCGTGCTCGTCCTCGTAGATTACCCCCGGACAAATTAGCAGCAGCCAAGGCAGAATTTGAACACATGATGCAGCTCGGCATCATCAGACCCTCCAATAGTCCTTGGTCTTCGCCCTTACACATGGTGCCTAAAGCTGATCATGATTGGAGGCCATGTGGGGATTACCGACATTTAAACAATGCCACAGTTCCCGACCGTTATCCTATTCCTCATCTTCATGATTTCTCCCTGACATTACACGGAAAAACCATTTTTTATAAAGTGGACTTGGTCAGGGCCTATCACCAAATACCAGTTGCCCAAGAGGATATCGAAAAAACGGCCATCATCACACCTTTCGGTTTGTTTGAATTTCTCCGCATGCCATTTGGCCTAAAGAACGCAGCACAATCTTTCCAACGTTTCATGGATCAGGTCACACAAGGTTTGGACTTTGTATTTGTATATATCGATGACGTTTTAATTGCTAGCTCGTCGCCCGAAGAACATACTGATCACCTCACCATCTTATTTCAACGATTTGAGCAATATGGAGTCGTCATTAACCCCAGAAAGTGCATATTCGGTGTCTCCTCTATACAGTTTTTGGGACACCACATAACCGCGAATGGTATTACGCCTACGGAGGAAAAGATAGAGTCCATCAAAAGCTTCCCCGAACCAGATTCACTCAAGAAGGTCAGACGTTTTTTGGGGATGTTTAATTTCTATCGGCGTTTCATTCCTTCGTGTGCCTCCATCGTCCAGCCATTAACCGACCTCCTTAAAAATGATCCTAAAAAGTTTCAGTGGTCAGCTGAAGCACACGAATCATTTTGCAACGCAAAAGATGCCTTATCCGGAGTCACTATGCTATCCCATATCAACCCCGAAGCATCGCTTATTTTGTGCACAGATGCCTCCCAGGTAGCTGTAGGGGCAGTATTACAACAACAAGGGTGAAGTCACC